AAATGGGGATTTTTGCATTTTGGTATTTGTATCTCCCAATGAATGTAACACTAAATAAGTTCGTTTCAACTGACATTTCGCTATTTAATGCTAATAACTTTATGGTAAACCTGAATTTACAAAACCCCACAAGCTTACCTGACAAATCTTCTTCTGCATGAATAATTCTGTGTTATCAGAATTGGTGAATAAAGATGATATCTATATGTAATGCATTGTGTGTGAATTACAGATTGAAATTTTGTATGTATACATGTGTTGATTGATATCTCTTATCATCTTGATGTATGTTGGGGTGGGTTGTGGGACCAGGTCAAACTACGTTCTACTCTCTCATTCCTATTTAGACAATTATGATTCTACGAAATGTAAAGAGGTTCTGCTATGAGACGTTCTTTATAATTTCTAAAACCTTTCTGAATAATTTTGATATTAAATTTTGAGGAAGTTGTGGAGATTTGGAAATATTTCAAGTTGTTATTCATCGAAGACTGACATCCTAGTATAGGACTCCTCAGCAGTGCGCACCCATGACCCCACACCAGCAGGGATCGAACCCGCAACTCCCTCAAAATTTAATTGAACTGGTGCTCATTGGTGACTAGCTTCGACAAGTATTCCCGAAGTTCCAATGAGAAAACGTAACTGGTGGAGTCAAAGCCTGATGGCCGTGAGGACAGATACTCAACGATGACATTTGGTGGCGGTTGCGCTATATCGTGAGCTAACAGAAGTTGGAAATATGGAGCAGTGGTTCAATGGTAACGCGCTGGCTGCGGAACCTGAAGGTCACGGGTTCGATCCCTGCTGGTGTGGGGTCGTGGGTGTGCACTGCTGGGGAGTCCCATACTAGGACGCAACAGCTGTCCAGTGCTCCCAGGTTCCCTTTGTTCCTCCAACTGATGTCAGTCTTCGATGAATAGCAACTTGAAATTTTGATATTGTCAGAACCGACCTTGTGATTTTAAATTGTAGAGTGTAGAGCTATGGCTAATATGTTTTCAAGTTTTTTTCAGGTTCACCGAATTTCTAGGGTGTCGCGTAGAAACATTTCAGTGTTCATTTTTTCTAATTTTGATTTCACGGGAAATTTATCCTATGCATATTGCATCATAGTTCTGTAGAACACTCTGATATTGTATTTGTTCAGCACTCTGTTAATTTCATCCGATATGTGTGTGCTATGCAAGGGATAACTATTGTTGAGCCCCATGATTTACGAGTAGTTTCACGATCTATTTTTACTTTAATTATCTTCTTCATATATTTTACTTCTTGGATTTTCATCCGTTACTAGAGTGTGTGCTCTATAAAAGACTGGAGGCAACAGAAACTTTCGTACTTATTGAATGTGATGAGTTGAAATCTAACGATTTGTTAAAATCCGTTGCTTTTCCAAAATGGTTATACTTAAATGTTTATTTTCTTTCCTCTTAATAAAACAATGAAGGAAAGATAGTTCTCCATTATCCGTTTCTTTTTCTAAGCTGAAATTGATATTGGGAGATCTAGAGTTCAGCTAATCTAAGAATGCGAACGAGTCATCAACATATCTCAGTCAAATATTTGGCTTTAGTAAGTGAGCGAAGACACTTTCTTCGAATTTATCCATAAAGAGGTTAGCTACTATAAGTGAAACAGGTGAACGCATAGCAACACCGTTACTATGCCCGTGTAGTTTTCCTTTATATGTGAAATAAGTAGTCTGTAAGGAGGATTTTGACGCGTTGATTATGTCACTGGTATTCAGTGGACATCTTTCTGACAATGACTTGCCTGAGTTTAATAAATTAGAAATAATGTCTAGGCTAAGAATAATTAGAAAACCGGTATATAAAGAATTGATGTCATAGCTGACCATAATTTCATCTTCGTCAATTTTAAGTGGAGAAATTTCGGATTTAGAATCAAGTAGGCCTCTTATTGTGAATTTCAAGAGCTTTTGTGGGGGGGGGGGGGTTAGGTATTGAAGCGACATATTTGGAGTGGTTGTATGTTGGTGTATTGGTGAAGTCCGCAGTTGGTCTCAATGGAATAGCAGGTTTGTGAATCTTAGGTAGACCATAGAACCCTGAAGGTTTGTATGGCTTAGATTTGGATTTGAATTAAATTGATCTACCGAATTCGGGTTTTATTTCTTGAAGTGGTCTGTGTGTGTTCAGTTCCAGTCAAAGTGTTTTATGGTCCTTCAGATAAGTGGTTCAATTGCTTTCTTCTCATAATCTATTCCATTCATAATAACTGCTATATTTTCTTTATCGTCTTTTTATGATTATAGCGCTGTTGTCTTCATTTCAGTTTTACAATACTTGAAATTCCTGTTTAGTGATGTTCTAAGGTGTATTTCTTTGCTTTCCGAGAATATATGAAACTTTCTGACGTACAATCTGCTTCTGGGTATTAGATAGAGATTCCAAAGCTGGTTTGATGATCAGTGCTATCTCATGAGTCAATAACAGCTTTTGGTTGATACTGAAATTGAGACATTTCTGTAATAATGAAATCTCATTCTTACTTCATCATCATTATTATCAACATAGGACCAGGCATTACTGCGTAACGGTCCAACTTGCCACACCTCATATCAGCACATCAAGTAAAAAGGTAGTGAAGCGAAGGATGAAGATAAGTGAATGCAGTCAAAAGAAATATAAAGTACGAGAAGAGAGAAACGAAAAATGAGAAAGTGGTGAGATTCGGTATAGCGTTGTTAAGATGAGGATAATGTGTGTATACATCTGCGTCACTGACACCGGTTCTCAGCCATATCACCTAGGGTCTCCAACCACTGGTTCCTCTTGTCCCACGGACCCCAACCACCTAGTCTACATCGTCCCACATTGCTCAAACCAACAATCAGAGACTTCATAGGTTGATACCATGTTTTAGTCTGGCCACCTCGAGCCTTTTTCCAGCCTGGACCCACCTCAGCCAACATTGTATGACGAGGCAATCGGTGACTAGGCATACGTAGTACGTGTCCCAACCATCTCAGTCGATGAAGGTTCACAACCTCGTCGACTGACTTACCCCTTCTCCCCAAAACTCTACTTACTTACGATCTTATGTGACATGTTATGTCCTAAATTGAGTTCTCTTATCATGTTTTAGTGTGCTCTATAATGTTTTGCTCTGATCAGCTGGAATCTTCTTGGATTCACACTTTTTTGGCCACATTATGAAAATGTGATTCCCGTTCTTGGAACAGTTTATGAATTAATTCAAGTGTATCAAGTGTATATTGTGCTGCAAGAATAGATCTGTAGAAATGTTCAAGAGGTTTAATACGTAGAGATTTGAGAATAATTCTCCTAGGTAAACAACGTAGATTGAAAATGTGATTATTATAGAAGTAGCATTTTGACTTCTATAGAGTAATTAATCTGGTTTTTAATCAGCTTTTAGATATCCAAACCAAATTGGTATTTGATGGTCACAATTCAGCTATCCAATATGATAACTCGACAGGTGTTGCATCCAGTGAAAAACAGAGAAAAAAAGAATGATGAAACTGGTACTTTTCTCTTGAAGTTAGCTACTAAGTATGCTTGTGTGTATTTGTGTATGCATTTATCGTGCGGATGTATGTGTGTATATTGGTGGGTGCTTGAGTATGCATGGATACACGGAAAGGGAGAACGGAGACATTACATACCTCGCTGATTTACGATTTTGACGTTGCTAGGCATCGAACGCAGGATTTTCAGGTTCCATTGTGCTACTTGGTTTGTCAGTTCATGATACACGGTAACCTCTATCCAGTGCCATCGGTCACGATAGCTCATTAGAACTTCAGTAGCCTTATCTCAATGATCACTGGAAAGTGGTTTAATTCGTGAATTTGTGGGGACCCATTGACTCAATGGTAACGTGTCACCTGTGGAACCTAAATGGCCGAGTTTGGTCCCTGGTGAGCTCATGGTGCGCATTGCCCCATAGTAGGACGAAACAGCTGTCCATTGCTGTCAGGCTGCTAATGGTTCTTCGATTGATATCAATCAATCATCCATATAAACCTGAAATCAATAAATAAATCCTTAAAACCCTCAGAAGTGATTTATACCCCCTCGAAAAACATGAAAGTAGATGAATAAACTTTGAAATATCTTTCTATTGATCAGATTTTTTTAGAGGGATATCATAGGTTAAACTGTTTGTTATAAAAAAAACAACAACAGAGAAAAGAAAAATAAAACACCACCACAATGAACATTATGCAATAAAATGAACTGTACAGGTAAGAGGAGAAAGAGGTGAGGGAATAAGTCAACAGTAATACTAATAATATTTATAAAGTTGGGAAATATAAAAAGGAAGAATAATTCTTTATATATCTCAGTAGTGTTTTCAATATAAGTTAATGTGATTTCACACAGATACTAACCTATGGTAGTAGTAAACACTTGTATTCAGTTAGATAAGAGAGAATTCTAATCTACTGGGTTATCATATCTCACTAGAGGTAGTCAGTCGAAAAAACTGATCATTAGAAGAAGTAGACAAAGAAGACTATAACATCTCAATATTGACTATCACACTTGAATAAAAATCTTATTCATTAATGCTGAATTTTGATTGGTTGAAAACGATTTGGCTAGAATAGTGAACCATTTAAAATAGTTGGAACACACATTATAATGTGTACACTAAACAACACTATGAATAATTCATCATCAATCTTTGTGTTAAAAGAATTTGAAGGGGATTTTCAAAAAAAAAATTAAATACACATTTGAAAATCTTATTGTGTCACCAGCTGATTAGTTATGCATAAAATTCTCACTACGTTTATATATATATATATATGGGCTGATTGAATTTCCATTAATAAATTATTCGAAAAAATCTGACCTGTAAAATTATGTAAGTGATCATTACTGTTGATCATTTTTATTCCTTACTCACTGAGTAGGTATCCTCTTATGAGAATGATTCGATCATAATTTATTTACGCATATATACAAATGTTAGTCAATAAAAGCAGTTTTCACTTGGTTGTTTTACTTCTCACTGTCTTCTGTTCGAGTTTCGTGTTGTTTTAGTTGTTGATGTTGCTGCTGTTTTTCTTTTTCTATATTACTTGCCCAGTAGGCTGTATTGCTTTCTAGATTGCTCATCAGCTCCGGTATAGGGAAAACAGCTACAAAGTAAAAAATATGCAAATCTTTGATAAGTTTCAGTATCTAGCTACTTTTATTGTATTTAAGTAGTAAGAGATAAAGCATGAAATAAATAGAAATAGACGCTTTCTAATTAGATGGCAAGCTGAAAAATTACCTTGGGCCAACAAAGATATGCAAAATAGGCATATAAATTCATAAAAACAGGCGTCCTAATTTCAAATTCCAAACATTTAACTTCATTCCTAACATTTAGGAAGAAATTAGATACCTAGAAGTTAGGTTTCACTATCAAAGTCACTTACTGGTAATTAGTTTCAGAACTTTTGCTGTATATGGTGTTTGTATAAGGTGTTTGACCATTTTGGAAGCGTGCAGTGAAACTGATGGACAGTAAGGCATGTGAAGGCAGCATTAAGGATCAATGCTAGTTCCTACTATATGATTCTCCCACTAGGGTACTTAGCAAGTAGTCGGATTGTGAGGAACCTGATATGGGTTTGGCAATCACTGAAATTTAGATTAAGAACTGTATTCTCATGATGTCGAATGGAATAGAGGTCAGAAATTGTAGTAGCAACTATGTTACCATTCAGTTACTTAGTTAGTCTGAATTTCCCAGCTAATTCTAATCAGCTATGTATCATGACTACTAGTCAGCGTCTTCAGCCGGTACCTGACCTCTATGAATGGAGAATAATCACCAACTAATCTTATTCGATTACAAAAGTTTTCTTTAGATTATTGTTGACAGACACTAATATGTTTCAGGTTATAAGAAACTGATAAGAAGTCAACAGAATGAAACTAATCCATGTTGTTCTGCTCCAACGATTCCTTTTTCTACATTGTAATTAAAAGACATCAGTTTCAGCAGATCATCTCATAAGTGGATTCATGAGGATCAAAGACATAACAAACAATCTATGAGACACTGTTGAACTCCTTCACTGGTGTAGAATGTTACAGACAGGGTCGGGCTGAAGTAATGAATCTTATGTTGATAAAAAGGTTATTCACCTATTTGTAACCGAATGAGATTTCGGTGAAAAATGCATTTGGAATTCTTGGTTGTATTGTGTTCTCTGAGCTGGGTTGTTTAATCGTGAAGCTTTCATTGCCCTGCTAGACGACATCATCAGCACTAACTTCAGTATGAAGTATTATGAGATGATACTGTAGGACATTCATCATCTTAACAAAGAATTCTCCCCGTAAACTTCTTAAATAATAATGAATATGAAAGCGGTAAATAACGATATCCTAATAAGACAAGTCGAAACTAAATTTGTGTTATAATGTATAGAAAGGTTGACAAAATCTTCATCAGAAGCTGGATATGCCTAAAGCCTTTTTCAATCAATCATTTCGCCTCAAAGTTTCAGGAAAAACACGGGAACCAATGTGCAAGTATTAAGCTGGTTGAATTGCCAGAAATAATAAGCAACAAGGAACTCACTATGGCTGGTAACGAACCAACCCAGAAGCTATCACTCAACAAATATGCAGAAGGAAGTGCAGATGGATTGGGGATGCACTGGGAAGACCGACTGGGGACATCACGCGCTAGGCCAGGCACTCAAGTTGAACCCAGATGGGAAACGACTAGTTGGGCGTCTGAGGTGAGGGTGACATGGAGGAGATCGTGCGAGGAGGAAATGAGAGCTTATGGGCTGTCGTCCAGCCAGGTTCAAAAGTTTGCAGAGAAGAGAGTGCACTGGAGATATGCTACTGAAGCCCTATATTCCATTAGGAACCCAAGGGACAAATAATAATAATAATCTTAATATATATAAACCTTGTAGTTTATATATATATATATATATATATATATATATATATATATATATATTGTCGGCGGTGCCGTTGTAAATACACACCTGTTGTATTACCATCTTTTCCATTATACGGGAACTGAGTGATCAACAAGGAATGTCCACATTTATATAATTCAAACTCTATCAAGTCACTGGTAAAGACGTAAAACATTGTCTGGTTATAGTAATGATAGACAATGACTAGCAGTGGAATCCAGAACATGCATATCTCATTCTATTTGAGACCCGTTAGCTGGATCTACCTGCCTCTCAGTGAGCGATGTTATTCGTAATAAGACTCCATCTTGGTAACGATTGCTTCAAACACCAGAGCGTTATACACTAGGTCACTGGGTCATAATATCGTTTTGGTATTTGAAGCCATGATTCCTGGGGTTGAAGTCTTGGTGGGAAAACCATCCATTCACTGAGATATAAGTACATCCGGCTAACGAATCTCGAACAGAAAGAAACATGTAACCAAAAGCTAGACACAGTTAAGTAAAATTATACCAATATAACTGGTAGACCAGTTCAAATATTTGAATAGATCTCATTTTGGTTTTTCATCATCAACAATAAAGAATTAGACAGCAAAACCGATTCAGCTTACAATCGAATCCTGAGAACATTCCTTTCAGGAAGAAATCAATAAATGAGATTTGAGATTGTGAAATATTACATGTTTGACGATCAAAATTTGGCATAACAATTGGTAAATTACGTTGTTTCTCTTCTTCAGTCTAAAATAGAATAAAAGAATAAGAGAAAAATATTTTTGTAAACCACCACCAACTCCTCCTCCTGGAAACTGAGGAATAAGTTTAAAATATAAAATGAAGAAAATAGAGAATAGATAGTGTAAATTAATGCAATCTGTTAGATGGATTTGAGTCAGTCAAAGTGTCAATAATGTACAGATATTGGATTATTTAATGATTACGAAAATTTGATTCATATACAATAAGAATGAATAATAGTCATTGAATCAATCATTATAGTTGATCCTGTAGGGTTTTTTTAATAAACTAGGCGAGGATGGTGGTGTTCAGATAGATGAAATGTTTGTGAAACTATTTACCTCTTCAATAGCCGATGAAGTTATAAATTCACAAAAATATTCGCTTAAATAATTGTAATCCATGCTTTCCATAACTGGGGAGGATCAGGTATGTCAATATATACAGACGTCTACGCCTTAAGCCGATATCCTGATTGTAGATTCAAATTAAAAAGTAATTAAATCACAACGGCTGTAATCAAACCAATCGTTACCTTTTAGACTATCTGCCTAGAAACCTATTTACTGGCAGAGCTACATAGCAAAACTACTGATCAGGTTTCAATTTTTACTTTCATAGCCTAACCAACTTGTCACAAATTGTTACTATAGTAGACGATATGTTCATTATTATTATTACATCATTTTCCCTTGGGTTCCTAGTGGAACATACAGTAGCACGCCTCCAGTGTACTCTCTTCTCTGCAGTCTTCAAAACCTCCCTCCACGACTGCCCACAACCTTTTATTTCTTCCTCACATGATCTCCTTCATATCACCCTCGCCTCGAACGCCCAACTCGTCGTTTCCCCTTCAGATTCCACTCGACAGCCTCACCTGGTGCGTGATGTCCCCAATCGGCTTTCTCAGTGTATACCCAATCCATCTCCACTTTATTCTGCATATTTCTTGGGCAATCGGTTCTTGGTTGGTTCTTTACCAGAGTTCCTTGTTGTTTATTCTTTCTGGCCATCCATCTGATCTTCAGTATCGAGTGAGTGAGTGTAGGCGGCAGCTGTTGATGAATGTCTGTAGTTTGTTGAAAATGCTTTTCGTGACGCGCCAAGTCTCTGAACCATATAGCAACAGTGACTTGACATTGGTGCTGAAAATCCGGATCCTGTTCACGCTTTGTGCTGAGTGCAGTAGATCTCCACACTTGAACTTAGTTTAGTTAGAGATAAACGTTAATAAGTGTATTGTCAGTTAGACTGTTTGAATACATTTCTAAATGACCTTGACAACACTAAATCCATACATAGGTTAAAATAGTTAACAGCCAATGAGAGTTCAGCCTTGAGAGGAGAGGGAAGAAAAACTAGTAACGGTGTGAAAACAGCTATGTAGGTTATTTTAAGGTCATAGGTAAAACAGTAGGTAAAGTTATGGAAAATTAGAGGTATGTAGCATAGTTACTCTTTTTCACAGCACTTGGAAGATAGAGATCATTAGCTAGAGTACTTTTTGACTAGGCTGAAAATCTTTTTCATTGTGAGAGCAAATTAACCTCCTAGAGTCAACAGCTAGCAATTTCAGTTGTCATGTGAACCTCAACCAGAAAGTCTACATATCCACACACGGTAAGGACATTATCCGATGATGTCTTTTACACAAGACTTCTACACCTGAATTCTACGTTACTGGTATGGTGATACCACGTATACAGCCTATGCTTCGAAGCCAACGGTGACTGAAAACCTGATATTTTCTCACATCCTCTACCTTCAATGGTCTAGATTAAAAGCCACATAGCGGAAGAAATCAACATGCATGGCGGTGCACTAGGTCCTTAACAGACAACTGGATATCATGGTGGTACCGTAAATGGTACAGGTTTGTAAAGGCCAAGCCACCAAGGGTGTTCCAACTCCGAGAAAGTGAACTGGTCAGTGTGCTCAATCACTGAGCTCCCTATAAATAGACAAAGTAATAGTTTGCGTCTAGGTAATGAGGAATGCAGACAAGGCAGTGTTAAATTACTACTCAATGTGTCTACAAGATTCTAGATCCTGTCAGCATCTTCAAGCTAGTAGGATTATTTCATCTGCGTACTTGAAGTCTACCATTGAGTCTCCTGTGATCAGCAAAAGCTCAGTAGTGTCAGATGAGGCCAGGAACAACCCTGTGTGTACATCGATAAGAATATTAAATAACAGTGGAGAGAATGGACATCTTACGGACACACCACTCGACATGCACAACTCACCAGATAAATCACTATAGACTCCAACACGCCTGCAAGTGTTCCACTTCAGACCCTTCGACACGGTGATGTACTTACCCGACAATCAGTCAGAGACAATACCATAAGACGTCTCAGTTGACGGAGTTAAGTGTTGCCTTCAGGTTGAGAAATACAACCAGCATTGGATGCTGGTAAGCGTACATGTGTTCCTTAACCTATCAGAGGTAGAAAGACACATGATCAGATCTGAAACCTATCTGTTTTTCTCGAGTTTCTTGTTCCAGAGCTACACTCAGACATCTAGTGACTACAGAATCTAGGATCTTGGACACTATGTTCTTTAGACCGATTCATCCGTAGCTATCACAAAAGGACTTATCCCTTTTTGAGCAATGGGATACCCAGTGGTTACGAACAGCCAGAGGGGGGCATTTCTGATTCGCGTACACTAACTAGAACTTTAGTTGGCCTGACCGATAATCCTTAAATACCATCTGGTCCTGCTACCCTCATCGATTCAGGTTACTTGCAGCCTTCTCGACTTCTCCAAGTGTTGATGGTCCTATCTCAGTGTTCCATCCAGATTCTGACTGGATAGTGGGAAACGTGATAGTAGCTAGAGGTCAGTTCAGCTGTTTCCCGAAGTGCTCCACTAATCATCCAAGTTAGTTCCTCTCCAAGGGAATCATAGACTGATACTTCTCCTCAATGGTCTCATTAATCATTGACCTTCTTGTCCCAGTTGTTTTGATAAGTCTAAGCAACTGTCATGTGTTACCTATCGCTTCTGCCTTTTCCATCTCTTCAGTTATCTCTGCCCATCACTGCTCAATGTCACTGCTTATATTCTATATCAGTCTACATCTGAGCTGCATTTTGTTCCGCATTTTGCCTGAAACGTGCAAGAACGCTTTCACATGTATCCAGTAATTCAGTGAGATCCACCGGCTACTTCTTACGTCTTTGTGAAAATGATTTATGGTCTTTAGGGTTGCTTTTACACCAAACTGAAGATGACAGAAAACAGGCTCCTTCAGGATGAGTTACATCGTTCTTTTCAGATATTTGTCCAGCTACTTCATCATGGAGCTGTACTAAAAGCTATCCAGTAGTTTTAGTTTTTCCACATTCATTTTGATGCAAATACGTGCGTGCTCAGGTCGACTTATGATAACTGATCAAACGTGTGCTCCAAAAACAGCAACAAGCTTCTACCGATCCTCTTCAGTGACAACTGATAATAATATGATGTATCAGTGTCCAAAAGTTCCTACTAAGTACCTTTCTGCCTGGCTTAGCCCCACCACTTGTGGATCGAAATCACCTGCTATAATAACCATGTCTGAGTTTTTGGCTTTCATCAGGAGGCTAGATAGTTTTCAGTAGAAATCGTCCTTAACTTCATCCGAGTGATAATCAGTGAGTGCATTTGGAGAGATTACAATCAGTCAAACAGTACTTCTGTCTTAACACTTAATTCGCTATCTGCAGGTGATATTCAGCGAGAAATACCAACCGAATCCGAGGAAAATCGAAGGATAAATTTAGGATATTCAGGATATCGATTGGAAGAGGTTCAGCAAATAACCAAACTTGGGTCATGTATGCATGTCTTACAAACAAAGAACACTTCCATGACCTGAAATGCTCCAATTTTGGCTATCACAGCTTGCCGATCAATTTGACGGAAAGTCTAAACATTCAAAGAAAAAATATATATGTCAAAGTATGGCTTCAAGAGACAAGGAATGCTACTTCGCCAACTGGAGTCGTTATTGAGGGCTACAGAGCCAGAAAAAGTTAAAAATGAGGTAAGAAAGCTGCTCGAGAGACGTGGTTCGAGTTTTGAAGGCTGATGATCTGGGAGAATCTCACTGCTAAGAGAGTTGTTAGGGCAGTTGATACTTCCCCGCTGCTCACACCATGTAAATGTTTTCTGCCAAGTAAATGAAAAAGGGAGACTAGTTATGGGTATGCATAACCGCAGAGTACAAAAAACATCTATTTGAGGCAGATCACACATTCACTCTTTTTGGAAGTTTTAGGTTTTACTTCGATTAGCTTGAATGCAGCTAAAAAAGGAATTCAACCAGCATCTGGATACTGTAGGACAGAAGAGAACTGTAGTTTTTGGCGGCTGATTTTTCTTTCTTCCCTTCCCACAAAGAATCCAGCATCAGTATAATCTGCTGGTCATCTAAGGGGAACACCTGGTCTCCATCACCCTCTCTCCGTCTCTCCTTCTCTCTACAGTCAACAGTATGACCTTACTTTCCAATTTATAATTGCAGTGTATCAATTTACATTACAACGGTAACTGAATTTTATCTTATCACTGTCCGACAGACTTTGCTGTGGTAGAAGGATCGTAGAGAATCAGTTCCTACCAAAGGAGTCCATCGGGTCATTGTGATATGTAAACTCAACCACCACGGCCGAACTCAATGGACTATTATCCATTCTAATTTCTTCTTGTCATAATAGCGTCAGTATGCTCCGATATTGTCATCAAGCATCCAGCCATATTGTTCAGCCCTGAATAGTTTAAGACTAGGCAGCTGTTTCATAAAATCGTATTAGTAGAGCCATTCCTCATTTAAAATATTATATCAAATAGTTAGACAATCAGATAAACACTAAAACAACGAAAAACACATTTAAACAGTGTACCGTATACGGAGTTGAAACACAAGTCAAGATGGGTGGGTCAAGTAACTGGATGTTGTTGAGTTTCCTACATTAGTCTGCGTTATCAGTACAATTAAGTTAGATTTACACTTGTAATTTTGATACTTCACTTCGATATCGTATAATGTATAACTAGCTGTTTGTGTCAAGTTTATTTCTTCGCCTCAGGGTATTGTTTTACTGTACTCAACTTCATAACGTGAAGCCATAGTAATGACTTTTTTTTCTATTGTCTACTAGAAACGATTATTTGCCTGACTTCATTTTTCAACAACCTATTTCTCGGAATATTTCTGTTGATTCTCAGATATATCACATCAGTAATTGGTCAAGCCGACAAACAAGAGCAATTGTTTGCTTATTGGAACAGAAATCTTATTTCAGTCGTGAGCTGCAGTCGGGGACGGAAATACTTAGATTTCGGTCATTAAACTCATCATGTAGGCTATGGCATAACATTTGTTACTATAAGGTAGTCAATTTGTGGGTTAAAATACTTATTTCACTTTGTAGTGTATTTCATACATCTTCTATGCTCGAAATTTTGACCCCAGTTACTGTGTCTATCACATCATACGATTCAAATGTTGCGCTTTCCATCAGAAACCAAAGAGACGTTTCTTATCGCAGACTAGATACTTTGAAAACGTCTGATTCTATTCTATTTATGAGCAACCCGCTCAAGTGACCAACTAGAATTTGGGTAAATTGAGCGATTCGCTTCTTTGAGCTCAATCAATCTGGACACACCGCTGATGAGTTTGATTGCTGATGGAGAGAAACGGCGTTGACCTGATTAGGGAGCGGTGCTGATTCTAGTGACTAACCTATGACTACTCATATCATTCAACAGTATATCCTTTACAAAGCTATTATCTAGAGTTGTATATAAGAGTATGAACACTGAACTAAAAGGTGACCTACCTGACAAAAATATTCTTCAGCTATTCTTGATGCCCATTCCTTACAAATGGACAATGGTCTAGTGGGATTATTGACATCAGAGCATTTTATAATTAGGCGTTTAATTAAAGCTCTATTCTCTGTAGTGGACAAGTTTTCTAATGTGCTGGATATTCTTTCTTGCCCAGGACTAGGTGAAGTTGAGTGAGACATTGGCACACCTATTGAACATGACTCCATAGAACTCATACTTCCAACGGAAGAACGATCGTGATGCTGTAATGAGAAAAAAACATTGATTAGAACTAGGCACATTCAAAGTATCTTGTTGCATTCTGAAGAATCTAGTGAGTAAGGTAGAAAGTTTAAAAGTGAGTTTCTTTTAGTAAAAAAAATCAAATAAAACAGTGTTAAGCATGGTCATATTAATTTCATCGTGGACATTCATTTTATTAGCATTGAAATTAGACCATCTGCTTGCTTTAATTTCCATCATAAATACAATTCTAGGAACAAGATTATTGGACAGAAATCTTCGGGAAAGTCAGATCTCTCTTTAGCTGATGGTGAAACGAGTAACCTAGACTAATTCTGTAGTTACGTGTAGCGCCATCCAAAATGACTGGTAAGTCACTGATTCGCTATTTTCTCACTTTCAAGTATCCTGGTTCTGTCAAACTTATCCTTTTTACTTTACTTTCAACCAATTCACCGCTATCTACGAATAATTGTAAGTTTGAAACAGCAGCCAGTATATATCTCAAGTCCTGAAATGTAATCAGCTGGCAGATCAAGTGTTTAATTTCGATCAATGAATTAACTAATGCATCACTGAGATATTTTTGCCACTGGGTACCATGCAGACCTTCACTCTCAACTTGGGATATAAGATCTACAATAATTACCACCTTGTAACTAGTTTATTTATACAGTCTAATTCTACGGAGGGATACTGGTAGTATGAAGTCCCTAATTCCAGATCTGCATACTGAAATCTCAATTGTACCCAGAGCAGTAAGTCATGTTATGATGTACAATTATCAGATAAAAGCAAATAAAATAGGTAACGAAAAATCTCTTATCATATAGTAAAAGTGGAATCCCAACCAAGTAACAGTCATAATGCCTTTTAAGGGCATAAAAAAATTCATTTATACCAAAGTGTAAAGCATAAGTGTAGTTTGGTTGGTTTTACTTTGTTATAAAGTGTAGAATTCATCAATGGAGGTAAGAATGAATGTCCTAAACACAATCCTAGCCACAGAATTTCTAATACAGAGAGCTTTCAATATTCTCCTCATCACAGGTAGGATAATTTCACCACCGTAAGTTGTGTGATCTAGTACATGCATGTTCCCTTGAGCTTCAGTAGTACGCCTCCATTTCACTCTCTTCTATACACTCTCTTCAATCTGGCTCCTACACTGACCACAAAATTTCATTTTTTCCTCACACCATCTCCTCCATGTCAACCTCGCCTCCGATGCCCAACTCGTCGTCTCCCTCTCTCAATTACACTCGACCCACTGGTCTGACGCCTGATGTCCCCAGTCGGACTTCTCAGTGTACGCCCAATACAATACAACACAATACAATACAATACATCTCCACCTTCTCCTGCATATTTCTTGGGCAATGGGTTCCTGGTTGGTTCGTTGTCAGGCCAGCCAACCAACCAGCCACCCAGCCAGCCAGTCACAGTGAATTCCTTCTTGCTTATTCTTATTATTCTGGCAATCCATCTCATCTTCACTAACGAGCCAGTGTAGGTGGCAGCTGTTGATCAATGTCTGTAGTTTGTTCGAAATACCTTTCGTGACACCCCCCACCAAGTCTATCAACCATCACATAGAAGCACTGAATTCACTGAATCAGTGTTGAAAACCTAGATCTTATTCACACTTTGTGATGAGTGCAGTAGATCTCCACACTGATTTCAGATCAATGAAAGCCTGTCTGGCTTTTCCAATCCTGGTTTTGACATTCTCGTCTGTGCCTGTGCCACCTCCTGAAGTCGAAACGATTCTGCCTTGCCCAGGTAGGTGAAAGAGACTGCTCCCTTCAGATTTCACTCGTTGATGGTCATTGGTGCTTGTTGTAGTTGGTTGGATATCTTCATCACCCCCGTCTTCTCTATGTTCACTTGACGTCCCATCTTCACTGCCTCGCCTTGCCTCTTCTGCCAACTTGCTAGTTTTCGCCTGTAAATCTTCGAGTCTGTGCGACCTTTAATGTAAATCATCATCGTCGGCAAAATCCAAATCTTCTAACGTCTTCTCCTCGGTCCACTTAGTGTATACCCCTCTTCTGGCTCCTCACGGTTTGCTGCGTGATGCAGTCCACTGCAGTCGACCACAATCAGGAAGATCATGGGTGATAGTAGACAGCCTTGACTTACTCCTGTCTTCACTTCCGCTTCAAAGGCATCCCTGAGTTTCCCATTGTGAATTACTTGGCATGTTGCGTCTTTAATATAGTTGTTGAATGAGATTGATAAAGGTTTGTAATTATCCGTAGTGTTCAAGCAACTGCCAAATTACTTCTCGGTCGACACTGTCAAAGGTCTTTTCAAAGTCGATAAAGTTGAGGTAGGGAGTTGACTGCCATCCTATACTCTGTTCTATGATAATGGGTAGCATTGCAGTTCGATCCGCATATGATTTGTTCTTCCTAAAGCCAGCCTGTTCCAGTAGTAATTTTGAATCCAGCGCATCCTTTAGTCTCTCCAGGATGATGCAGTATAACATTTCGCTTGCATGGGGTGGACAGCAGCATCGTTCCGCGCCAGTTCTTGCAAAGACTTCGGACGCTCTTCTTCGGGAGTTTGACAAGGTACCCTTCTTCCAGTCGATCGGCAGGTACCTTTCCTTCTTTCCTTGCAAACCCTGTGCAGTAGTGATGTGAGCATGTACGCTGTTGTCCCTGCGTCTGTTTTCAGTGCTTCTGATGGAATTCCATCTGGTCCTGCTGCTTTCCCGGATTTCAGCAGTTTTATGGCATTCAGGACTTCTGCTTTTGTCGGAGGGCCTATGTCAACTGCTAGTTCTGCCGTTACTGGTGATATTTCTGGACGAGTTGCAGGTGGTGGTCGATTCAAGAGCTTTTTGAGGTGGTCAGCCCATTGTTTCCTTTGTTTCTCCTCTTCGGTAACTAGCTTTCCTTACGTATAAGTTAGTCCTAATAAACTGCTGAAAAAAACAGCGACAATCTTGATTCGCATTCAGCTCATAGATTGTCATCTAAGCAAAGAATGAATATCAGACTACTAAGATTACAAATTGGTACACAATGAATTATTAAGGCAATACTTACTCGATTCTTTGTCAACATTGGCTTGCTCAATGTGTTGACAAATTTTGTAACAATGTCAAAATGTCGTACCATTTCAGTCGCTAACACCATATCAACAATATAACTACGCATTGTTCGATACTCGTCTCTGTGTAAATGTAGAGTTCAAAGTTGTTGCGGTTGTCGTTGTTGTTGTTTTCGTTAGTATTATTTTCCCCCACAAAAAACAAAAGATAAAACAAAGGGATTAATTCAACTGAAACGATAAATCAACGATGCTATTACGGTTCAGGGCGATGTGTGTGTGTGTGGGGGGGGGAGGGAGAGTGAGTATATTTCCACGTTTATTTGACACATCACTTCAGAATGAACCAGAGTAACAGGTCATACGAGAATTGTGTCTGATATAGACATAGTTAGGCAATTAATAGATTTAGTAAATTAATCTGTGTGTAGATTTAACATTTCTTGAGGCGCAAACTAGCAGTCTCACGTACAGTGAGAGATTAAGGCTTAGCTCAAATCAATTAAGTATGCAGGGAACATAAAATGAGACGAAGTACACATAATACGTGTTACTTGTAGAAGTGCATACGATGAATGTTATGAAATAACTGTTACTGCTAGCAGACAAATAGAGACTTAGTTAGCAATCACGTCTTTTAATCCATTCTTATTACGATTCTGAATAATGTTGACTCACTGGGCATTATTTCCAGATGTGATATTGTTCAACTTTTTACCCAACCATTATTGTGATCTCCCTATCATGTGAACAATTATTAAGCACTACAACTGTAATTTGCTTGCTGCCTTTCTCAAAAGTGGTTGATGTCTACATACTGACACTCTTCACCGTTTCACTATGAAACTAGTAAGAAGGAGGTAATGATAATGATAGGCAGCGAAGACGGGACTTCAAGTGAATATAGAGAAGACAGAGGTGATGATGATACCCAACCAACAACAACAACAAACTCCAGTCACCATCAACGGGAGAAACTTAAAGGAAGTAACCTCCTTCACCTATCTAGGAAGCACTGTTTCAACTACAGGCGGCACAGGCACAGACGAGGATGTCAAAGTCAGAATCGGAAAAGCAAGACAGACGTTCATTAGCCCGAAACCAGTGTGGAGATCTTCTGCACTCAGCATGTGGAACAAGATCCGGATTTTCAACACCAATGTCAAGGCAGTGCTTCTGTATGGTTCAGAGACTTGGCGCATTACGAAAAGGATTTCCAATAAACTACAGACATTCATCAACAACTGCCACCTACGCTGGCTCGTTACTCAAGATCAGATGGATTGCCAGAAAGAATAAGCAACAAGGAGCTCTGGGAATGAACCAACGAAGCAAGAACCTATCACCCAACAAATATGCAGGAGGAAATGGAGGTGGATTGGGCACGCACTGAGAAGGTCGACCGGGGACATCACGCGTCAGGCCAGTTGCTAGAGTGGAATCCCCATGGGAAGCGACAAGTTGGAGGTCCGAGGGTGACATGGAGGAGATCGTGCGAGGAGGAAATGAGAGCTTCTGGGCTGTCGTGAAGCCAGGTTCAAAAGATCTCAGAGAACAGAGTGGAATGGAGACGTGCTACTGAAGCCCTACGTTCCATTAGGAATCCAAGGGACTAATAATAATAATAATACAAGTGTTACTTAAGACTATATTTCATGCGAACAACTAAATATTCACTCATTCGGTTACTTTACTAATAGTCTCTACGATGGTGCAGCCTAATTGGTGGTGGTTCGTGAATTGATACTTACACTGCATAAAACTAAAAAGAGATATGAAAAGATAAGTTGGCAAAGTGTATGGTCTTTCGCCAGTTACTAACTCAGCTATCATCAAAGTGGGTGGATCAACATCATAGTCTTTTGGATAATTGTCTTTTACCCGTGAAACAAATTAAACAATAAGACATTTAAATGTAATACAATCTGTTACAAATTTAGTCCCTATGACAGACAGTACACTTTCCTTATAAACTCAAGATGTACCATATCGATATAAAACTGAGGTTTGACACCATATGGTGATCTCGTCCAACTGATAACCACTCTGTAATCAACATTCCACACTTCTTGAATCCAAACATGGTTGTTACACTTGATAATATTATAAAGAAATGATCAAAACAGTATGAAGAGTAAACCTTCCTTGATTCTCAAAGTTACACAATCCATATATTGATTATTCAGTTGATTGGAAGTGGAATTTTAGCACACCTTACTGCTCCGCATCTCATGAAATGTCAACTAGCTCTGAAAGCTTGTTTATTTGATTTCTGATGTCTAGTCATCAAGAACTACTTTGTGAAGAAGGTCAGAGAATACTGGACAACAGTCATCTTCATTATGAGTATAAAAAAGATTCTCTATATTACTCATCTTTAAAAGTTAATATATTTTTTTACTGATATATTAAAGAAGTTACTTACCGTGTAAGATTTTGAAAGATATTGATTTCAGGTGACTTGAGAGTTAGTTCAAACGACAGAGCCACATGGTGACTTTCCAAAACAGCACTAAAATAAATGAGTACACATACAGTCAAAGAGGAACCATCTTTTCCAGAGACGTAATACTTAAACAAAGAAACTGTTTTGTTTTTTTTCATACTTTTATACATTGTAAAAAGGACAAATGAGGACTTGTTAAGAATAAAATAATGAATTCCTGGACACCCAAATAATGAGATTGTAACTAACATACTTGAATTCCAATCAACTCCTTGACTCCTACATCACTTATTGAAGTTTGCGAGGTCTCGTATGATAAAGCTTTCATACAACGAGTTTATTCCCAGGCCTTTCGAACGCACGAGGTATTGACTGCTGAGTGATTGACGAAAGCTCTAAGCTTCACTAGTAGCCTAGGTAATCAACTTCTTCTGTTGTATGAAGTAATGACAAAGTCATTTTCCATGTACAAGACGAATGGTTTATCCTAGTGGTCATAACCGGTTTAGGTAAATGTATAAGTGATAATTATGAAAGAAAAAATAACTAGATAACTTGTGTAACTGAGTCCTTTAGACGTTCAGTTCACATTTACCTGGATAAAACACTAAAGCAGTAGAAACATTTTCAGCAAGCAGGGATATAGACATCTCTATGAGTTGAATGTGCAATATTGGCAGTAAGCTCAGTGATACAACATTTTGGTGTGCTTTTTAGGAACCTGTGTCTCTCAGTACACCACAGTGTCACTTCAGTTAGCTCAGTGGCCACACCGCAAAAGAGCACAAATATCGTTGAGTACTAAAGAGTAGGCGTTTACACCAATCTCCCATTTGTTACTGATCCTTGTTCTTGAAGTGACCTAGGTTATGCTGCCAACTGACTTTCCAAATAGAACGCCAGGTCAATATTCCTCAGTATAAGAGAGAAAAAAACTTCTATATGAGCTACAAAAGTGAGTATTATAGTTGCTAAGGTAGTATTTATCAGGAAATGACATCAGTTGAAGAACCACTGAAAACTTGGGAGCACTATACAGCTGTTTCGTCCTAGTATAGGACTCCTCAGTAGTAGGTACCCACGATCCAGCTACAGGTCGAACCCAACACCTTCAGGTTTAATAGTGGATGCATTAAGCATTCAATCATTGGGATCACCAGAAAGTTGTTTCGTTGTTACATATTATAGTTTCTGACTGGATAGTGGATAAAGGTATGCTTTGATAGTAAGGAATTCACCCTAAGAAGTAAATGTATTTCACTAGCCTGTGAATTTTCAACAATTCCTTGCATTTAATGCTTATTAGGAAAAGAAATTTCGTTCAAATAATCTCTTCCATCAGGATAATGGGGAATATAACTGAGTACAAACATTTTATGGCATGCAAATGTTTCGAATCCTATCGTAAGCTAGTTTTCTTACTCTACTTTAATCATTATCCTAACAACACATAATAAGTAAAGGTGATTTTTTTCTTGTTGGAAAAAGTAATCCATAAATATTGGTTATTAATAATTACATTTATTTTCTATACAGTTTTTTAATCGTTTTGCTCTATTTTTCAATGTAGACATTTTAATGTCTCTCAATAAGATCAACGAACAAGTTAAGCGACAAGAGTGAAGGAAAAAAAAACAAAAGAGAGACAAATAATTGTTCAATGTACAATAGAACTAGTAAATTAAAGGATAAACTATTGAATAATGTAATCATTCTAATTTTTGCATGATTTTTTCTCTTCAATTATATGAAGATGCTCATTATGAAAAAGTGACTTTCAAATCTAAATCACTTTCTCTTTCGGTATAATGAGAAGTTTTTTTTTCAAAAAGTAACAATAATTAACTTATTTTCAATAGATATTGTTACATCAAACTGTCTATATGTCTGTGATTAAAAGACTGTTGTCATGGTGTGTTGATTTCAATTTGAGCTAGTCAATAATCAAATAAAATCAATCATAAGTGAGTTTTAATATAACCCCAAAGTGTTTAGAATATCGAGAATGTTTCGCTGTGTATGCCACAGATTCTTCAACATTATTCAACTTTAAAATATATTACTACTTGTTTAATTGGATCGAATTGTTCGACCTCTATTGGCATATGGAGTCCTATGAGGATGCTTAGATATTGCCTGAGTGTGAATTATGATAATTTGTTTGGTTGTGGCTACCAAGAGAATCCAGGACGCACTTGTCGTCCTACTTGAAACTCGTCATTCCAGTGAATTATATTGTTCCTACTGAGACTCGAACCCCAAACGCATCGCTTCAAACGCCAAGCCCTTATTCACTGGGCCATAAAGGAACTAAATTACCATAATTGATATTCAGGCAGTATCGAGGTACCTGCATAGGAGCCCATATGCCAATGGAGGCTGAACAATTCGATCCAATAAAACATCGGATAACTACAAGTATATCAATAAAATAGTAATAACTACTAAACGTTGTACAAGAAGTGACCATCGTTCCACCGTGGCCTAGTGGATAACGCCTTGGCGTTTGAAGCGATGGGTACCAGGGTCGAGTCTCAGTGGTTATTCTCATGGTCTCACGATTATTCATCGCATACCACCTCGTCTTTCCAAATGTATTCGAACTTGTCCTTCACAACACAAGGCAGAATCAGTGGGAATTCGAGCTAATAATCCTAGTCTTTGTATCCAGAGGAAGTTTGTGCACCCTTACTCCTTTCTTATTCTTCACCTCTTTCATATACTTAAAATATTGGCTTAGACCTTGTTTACTGACTTACCTTGTCTATCAGTATTATGTAACTTTTGTTTTCTCAAGCTTTTGACTCGGTTGCCTTATCGCAGTGTCTACATTTTCATGCTGCTGTCCTGGCTCTTGTCTTCATTATCATCCATATCGCAAGTGCTTTAGTCAACGTCATCACTTTTATCATTTTTCTTATAATCAGCACTGTCATTTTATCACACTAACCGACGATATATATATATATATATATATATATATATATATATATATAATTATTATTATTATTATTATTATTGTTATTACTATTATTATTTGTCCCTTGGGTTCCTAGTGGAATATACAGCTTCAGTAGCACGTCTCCATTTCACTCTCTTCTATACACTCTCTTCAATCTGGCTCCTACACTGACCACAAAATTTCATTTTTTCCTCACACCATCTCCTCCATGTCAACCTCGCCTCCGATGCCCAACTCGTCGTCTCCCTCTCTCAATTACACTCGACCCACTGGTCTGACGCCTGATGTCCCCAGTCGGACTTCTCAGTGTACGCCCAATACAATACAACACAATACAATACAATACATCTCCACCTTCTCCTGCATATTTCTTGGGCAATGGGTTCCTGGTTGGTTCGTTGTCAGGCCAGCCAACCAACCAGCCACCCAGCCAGCCAGTCACAGTGAATTCCTTCTTGCTTATTCTTATTATTCTGGCAATCCATCTCATCTTCACTAACGAGCCAGTGTAGGTGGCAGCTGTTGATCAATGTCTGTAGTTTGTTCGAAATACCTTTCGTGACACCCCCCACCAAGTCTATCAACCATCACATAGAAGCACTGAATTCACTGAATCAGTGTTGAAAACCTAGATCTTATTCACACTTTGTGATGAGTGCAGTAGATCTCCACACTGATTTCAGATCAATGAAAGCCTGTCTGGCTTTTCCAATCCTGGTTTTGACATTCTCGTCTGTGCCTGTGTCACCTCCTGAAGTTGAAACGATTCTGCCTTGCCCAGGTAGGTGAAAGAGACTACTTCCTTTAGGTTTCTCCTGTTAATGGTGATTGGTACTTGTTGTTGTTGGCTGGTTGGTTGGTTGGGTATCCTCATCACCTCTGTCTTCTCTACGTTCACCTGAAGGAAGTCCCGTATTCCTTAGATGCCTCTCCTCTTCTGTCAACTTGTTGTTTTTTGTCAGTAGATCTTCTAGTTTATGCTATATTAAACCCAAATCGTCGGCGAAATCCAAATCTTCTAGGGTCTTTTCATCGGTCCAGCTAATGTATGTTTGCCTTCTCGCTCCTGAAGGTCTTCTGTATGATCCAGTCGACCATAATGAGGAAGATGATCGGTGATAGTAGGCAGCCTTGTCTTACTCCTTATATATATAAAGCTATTTTCATTAGAGTAAAGCCTGAGGAGGATCTAATTGAAAACAATATTGTTCGTTTATATGTCTTGTCCTAATTTACATGATGGGAATTTTTAATAATGATAATAGTAATAGTCGGTTTATTCCAAACAATATGTATGGTACAGAATGGATTTCTTAGCATATAATTCAGCAAATTCACTCCCAGAACAATACTTTCAGGTAAAACGGTTATAACATCCGAATGATGTTAATAGTAACAGTATTCAAGGCAATAATGTGAAATAACCAGCTGGTTCTAGACGGGTATCCGGTTCATAATGAAGAATCGACAGAAATGCAAATGTAATTTTGGTGGTGGTGGTTCATTTAGACAGTACAAAAATGTGTAACTCAAGCTAAGCATCTGACGGACGAAAATATGATGTACTTTTTTGCACCGAAAAGTTCATTTCCATATGGCGTAACATTTTTTTTTCTCTCCTTTGTTATTGACTCAAGAAATGGAGAGTTGGTAACAGTTGAAAAACGTGCAATAATACATGATACGTTCAAAGGACATACTTAAGTGATGAAAACAAATTGGAAAGAAAGGATTTGGTGAAAAATGTCCCATCGATAAATTTGGTAGCCCAAGGTTCAAGTAGGCCACCGTGCAAAACTCTTAACGAATGGCATAAACAATTTCCATAACATTTACACACATACACACACACTTCGATTATTGAATTTTTTTGATAATAAATGACAAAGATTGCAGGATTCTATAATGACTTGCTGAAAACAATCAGTCTGAACAACCTGACAACTAACCAATGGCGTAAAGACAGAAATTTTTACATGTACCATTTGACAGTTAATATATACTGATGTTGAATAAAAGTGCAAATATTCTGCTGAGGAAGCTGTAGGATACACAGCGAAACATTCAGAAAAATCTTGTTTTTAGTATTCTAAACACGCTGGGTCTACATTAAGTCTTAATGTAGACTGGCTCATATAATGATTAAACCTTACTCGGCCCTCAACGTCTTGCAGGATATTCGTAACAACCATGGTCTGCATGTTTATAAATAAAATCAATATTCTGCCATATATTTATACCATATATTCTTTTGTCTAGTTGTAAAATTGCATTTTCTGATATAAATACTAGTGAATTTAAGCTTCTATTAATATCCTGTTCTACATATTATATCTTTAGTAGTGGGCAGTTATTGTTACGAAAAACTGGATTAACTGCACCTAAAAAGGTAGGATTGAACAGATATTTCAGCAACCCTTAAAGTATGTGAACACCAATCCTACCCTCCATTGCATCTACCAGTTCAAATCTACGTATAATGACACAAACATCGGCAGAACTCATAGATTCATGCAATTAAAGGTCAAGGAGCATATTCTGAAGTGGCTTTAGAAGGAAATTGAATGTCTTCAGCTGATATATCTGAGTTAGTAGCAGACATTCAAGTTCTTTGATCGCGAAACATATCGTCCAGACAAATCATAGGATTAATGCTGCTGCAATCTTTAGTCCTGTTTACAAAATGAGTTGAGGACGGATCTTTAAATTTATTGAGGCCTTAGCTATTCGGAGGTTTAAATCACCTTCATGGGTTCAAAAACAGTTTGTTATCACATTCAATCTCCCTTGGTGAATTCAACTATATAACTAAGTTCGATGTACAATTATTTTTACTCTATTTACTTTCATTGTTATTCGGCCTTTAATTCAGTCGTCATACTTGACCTCTTTGCATATGGAATGGAATGAAATGGAGATCTGCTTCCTACCAGTCTGGATTTCTTCAACAGTTCATCCCCTCCATTCTGTCCAAGACTGAACCCATAGCCATCGGATTTCAGGTCAAGGACATTATTAACACTTAGCTGCCGGGGTCAGATACCAAATTCTAACAAATTCCAACACTGAGTAACCGTCATTCATCACCATCAACGGACATTTCTCCCCATATTTGTCTTGGTTGGCCAGCAAGGTGACAACCTGCTGAAGCAATTCATCAAGGTAAACTAGACAGTGATTCAGTCAGAAGCAGGAAAATGTCACCTATAGAATTCCAACTTGATAGATGGATGGAAACCTGCCTACTACTAGGCCCAACAATTTTGTGATCTATCCCATTCAGGTTTGTGAATTTGCACTGATGAAGACCTCCTCAAAAACAAAACGAAATAGCTGTCCAATACTCAGAAGTTTCCAATCATTCTTCAACTGACGTCATTTAGTGACGAATGTTGCTTTCAAACTAATCAGTCCCCCTAAACTGCTAATTGGATTATACATTTTCATTTCAACGGTAACACTGTTTGTGTGTTGATCAACCACTACAGAGTAATAAATATTGTCTATTAACAAACACGAAATGTAGCCTAATGAGTTCTCTGCCGTCTCTTCCCAATTACCTACCACAGAATGTAGTAGACATAGATGACAAGTTCCATCGCTTTGTGATAGTTTCGAATGATAGGGAATAAGTTATACACCTTCGCAGCTACAGAGACCTCTGTAAAAAGGAGTTGGGTTCGAATCCATGGCACAATGGATAAATGTAAAGTGGTTAGACCGACAGGTAGCAGTTCAAAATTTAGATTAGCACTTACGACTAAAAACATCATATCGGTTATTTTGAAGTAACCAACCTATCACTGTTTATATACCTCGATGTGAACACTGAGTACTGTGAGTTTTGATTTTTGAAGAGGTATTCACCTTCCATTGAAAAGTACTAATGAAATCCGAGGTCAATGTCCAAAACTTTTTGCTAGTTGTAACACACCATGAGATAGTATTTCTATAAAGTTTTACAGATTCATGTAATCTTCAAAATGGGAGAAATCAGTGTCTGAAGACTCCTAGAGATATATCTTGAAAGTTTGTCACAATGGTGCAGTTGTGTACAGCTTTTATCATATCTGAAGTTGTGACTATTTTCATTAACCTTCACTTATTTGTACTTTCTCCTCTTTTACAGTTTTATCTACATTTACATCAATTTTTCTAGACACTTCTTCCTTCCATTCAACTGATCCACTTCTGATTGGTTGATTTCTCTGTTCGTCTGACTTCGTATATGGATGTATGGCTAGATTATTGCTAATTTTATTCGAATCAAATGGCAAATATTTTTGAATTCAGTTTTTTGATGAGGTGAAAAGTGCTACTATACCAATCTTTAGAGGTTTCTTCAAGAATACTCCTAGTTATGAGGTAATCTTTAGAGTTATTCTCTGTATAGTAGTGGACCTTTGATTGCATTCTAATCACAAGTCGGTCAGTGAAGTTCAAATCAATTTTGTTAAAGCCTTCACAGTGTTTTTCTATAGTCTTGATAATCCTAATTACATAATCTCATACAGCAGTTTCTCTGAACAGTTCTGAGATGGAAAGATATGGGACCTCAGTATTCTACGATCTTGACTAATTTCTTCGTGCAATTTCTATCCGGTGGACCCCACAAAGCAAGTCCATTTCAAACATTATAGTAACAACTGAAGTATTTAAAATGAAATGAAAAATGGCAACTGAATTACAGTTAATCTAAGCACTCACATATCATTGTATAAAATAGCTAATGGGTCACTGTTATTCACAAGGAATGGATTAGTTCTCCCAGGATGATCCACATCGTGTACAATAGCAGCGAGAAGTGTTGCTACCTCATCAATACTGGTGTATATTGACTAAGGCAATGAAAGTTTAAAAACAAAACATACAATTCAAAAAGAAAGCAACTGGATGGGATTCATAAAACATTGAGATAATCTCATCACTAGTAATGCGAAGAATATCATCTTGTAACCACTTACTTGTTTCAGAAGTGACTGAAGAACAACCAATTTTATACTATCAAGTCCTGAGTGATGATCAAGTTCTATCAATCATTTCATAACGTGGCCACCAAGCTAGAGAAATCCTCATCGTGGTGCATTTTGATACATGTTAGTCAACCAGAATCGATCGGCAGAAAGTCCTATTTGACCTGGGTTTCGTGTCTGTAAACTCAAGGGAAATCCTATCCTCAGAGCTCAGTTTTGACACCTCCAACTTCATTCTTAGATGACATGAATTCGAATCGCACAACGGGAAATCATTTCTTTTGAGGTTGCAGATACACACTGCTGACGAAAGCCAAAAAGCATGAAATGAGGTTCAGGGGACCTCTTGACGACTGCCTTCAACAAACTAGCATGACAAATTTGCTTATTTTAGTGACTACAATAACGGACTTCAAATATATCAGGGCATTCAGTAACCTTCGTGAGTGAAGATAGTCTTCTATTACTTGAATCAAAGTGAAGGGTAATATCCTACAAGATGGTAAAAAATGCTTAAACTGAGAGATCACAGCTCGAATGACGCTGGAATGTATACGAAATTAATATATCTTTGATAATAAACAGGTCTTCAAAAGCCTCCCAGCTGAGTTTCAATTCAGAGCATCTGCATGCAGTAAATGGTTTGTAAACAAGACATGACACTGGTTTCATATGTCCATCTACCTTTCTATTGAGACACTATGAGATTATAGAGCTCCTCCTTTCAGATACTCGAAAAAGATGACTGTTGATGTTGAGAGTATATAATGTTTTCACGCGACTTCAGTACTTAGTTCAAATGTATTGCCTATGCAGAAAAAACTCCATGACAAAAGTAAACATTTTCAGACTTCAGGGTGGAATTCCTTTTTTCCAGTCTGAATTTCAGTAGCACTTTAAGTTACATGAAAATTTAAGATTTGATTAGTTGATGATTATCAAACAAGAGAATACTTGTATCTATAGTCATGTGAACAACAGAAAAATTCCTGCTGATGAAGACGTCGTTCGTAAGCTAATTAGGGGAATCATGAACATCAGTAGAATCAAACTCAGAGTAGATCACTGAAGTTTTACGAAAACAAGAATATATAGATGGAGGTTAAGATGAAGTGATGAATAACACAATTTCCTTAGATGAATTTATGGGGCAGAATGGACTTGTCGAAAGTGAACCATCCTACTTAGCAAACAGTTTACAAGAACGATTTCTCGCAACGCAATTCCTTAACATTAAGTATTCTTTTGAAAGTTATACAACTGTTTTTTTAGTACTGAAGGATAGTGGCTAGTAGTAGAATCCACGCTGCACGTTTCGTACTATTTAGGACTCTGCAGTCGGATGTACCTACATTCCAGCGAGCGATATTGTTCCCACTGAGACTCAAAACTGTGACCAACCGCTCGGTGGCCTAACGGATTACGCTCTTGCGTTTGAAGCGATCACTTCCAGGTTCATTCTGTAGTGGGAAAAACATTGCTCATTGGGTGCAGGTACATCCAGCTAACGAGTCCCAAGTAGAACGAAACGCACATGCTTGATTTGACAGCTAGCAACTATCACTACTATAAAAACTAAAACGACAGGCGATATCGAGGCATCCAAGCAATAACCCAAATGTCAACAGAAAGTGATCGATTCGGTTCAATCAACGACGAGAAAATACAATCAGCAACATAATAAAAGTCTGTTAGATATCAGTTTTCGCTATCTAACGAAAACACGAAATGATTTTCACCACAACTAACTAATCATTGATAACAGGATGAACTACCACTAGTGAAATAAAATTGGTGACAGGTAAACTCAAAGTAATGAAGTGAACTAGTTAGTGGAACATTGCTACCTCGTTACATTTATCTCATCGAATGAGGATGATTTTGAAATCTGCTACTGGTTGGTTAAACATATTCAGCGCATACGTCTACGCGCAATGGAAACACCTATTAGGCAACCGAACATCTAGCATCTTGAAATTTGGAGAACAGCCAACAGTAAAATAGCGTATTTAAAAGCGGTAAAAACAAGCGATACACATGGAGCGGGAAAAGGCGCAAGAAATTTATAAATAAAAGGCATAAAGAGTTCGGTTTTAGGGGTCTTACATCCTAAACATCTTTCCTTTTAAGAAATCCTAATGTTCAACTAGAAAATGTTCTGTCCTTCACAGCTTTCGTAAAAGGAGCTACTTCTTTCTTTGAGCGACGTTTTCTGAAACTGGCTCTTCATTAGGTCTATTCTTATTGGGTAGTTGGAATGTACGTGGTAGGGTTTCCAAAGAAAGATTGTCTGACGATACCCCTAGCTTTGACGCTGTTCCTGAAAGTAGTTGATTCCTGTGTTACTTTTATCTATCTTGTCCGATGAATAAGTCGTATATCAGACTTTTACACTTACCAATAATTGTTCAAGCTATCTATTATTCGTACTTAGGTTGACAGTTGCAGGAAAATGAAGCATTCCTGCCTCAAACGCCTTTTTGATATTCTCTGGCAGTCTTTTGGAAATCATTTGTAGGGAGGTGCGCTCAATTTGTCTCACAAGTGCTTTGGTAGGGATAACACTTCATTTGTTGTTCTTTATGCTAATAGGAGCTGTTGGATGTTGTCAGTTAGCATCCTTTCTCTCTTTACCTTCAGGAAAGCTCTCTCCAAGATATCTGCTTGTCCACTAGAACCAGTTAGGCCGTTAAGCAGACCAAGTTAACCCAGCAGTACCAGTGAGAACCACCTTTGGAATTTTACTAATATCTACACTACAGATAAAATAGGATAACTGGTGGTAGAGCATAGAGCTGGAAACATGGAGGTTGCTGGTTCGAATCCTGACACGGCTCGGGTTTTCACTTCACGTTCAACCGCGAAATGGTATCAACACAAGTCTGCCAAGCCACGGTTATCTCGGATAGTCAGAGCGATAATCAATATAGTGCTCTCCCTCTATAATTCAGGATGATTTGGATTGAGATGAAAAGTCCTGGATGGACAGCCAGTGTGAATACGATGAACGGATAGTAATGCATCACGAACTCACATAACAATCGGGCAAACCCCTTGATGATTAGGGTTCAGTTACTATTTAGTTTGCAGTCAGGGTCTTGTGACTCAGTTGTCAGAGTACCAGGCCGGAAACTCAGAGGCTACTGAGTTCTAATCCCACTGCTATTCAGTTTTTCATTTCATCATCAATCATATGCCAGTAAAAAGTAACTTTGTCAGTTGAGGCATACAGTTATGTCAACCTAATATGAAGTCAATGTTATCACATAACGAGTAAATGTCAACCTACCCTTATTAAATTATGTTGCAAAAAATAAGCTGATGCTTGTAAAACATCACCAGCATGCGTAGCATTGTGATATGGATTATCAGCATGGTAATGTTCTTCAATTACTGTCAACCAACCAACCAATATTTGACTAGGTATACGTAGTACATTGACTGCATTGAAACTGTCCAATATCCTCATGCCTAAATAGGTTAACGGTCTGCAAATAGTGAATAAAAATTTAAAAAATACACAGAGAGGGGCAGAGAGAAGAAACTATCAATGTCACACTTATCATTTGACTATCTGAGACGGCCGTAGTTTGGCAGACTAGTATTGATACTGGGTGATGATTGAAGGCAAAATGGAAGTTTGGACCGCGGCCAGATTCGAACCAGTGACCACCGGGTTTCCGGCCCGACGCTCTACAAACTGAGCTACGAGGTCCGATTGATGAGTAAAATAAAAATTGGGTCGGTAGTCAGACCTCGTAGCTCAGTTTGTACAGCATCGAGCCGGAAACCCGGTGGTCACTGGTTCGAATCCGGCCAAGGTCCAGATTTTTATTTCACTTTCAATCATCACCCAGTATAAATGTCACTCTTACTTAGTTGATGTATAGCACAGTTTTATTTACAGCACTATTTACCTTCATAATAATAATAATAATCCCTTTATTCCAAACAGCATGTATGACACAGTATGGAATTTTCAGCTTGGAGTATTTCAACAAATTCGCTTTCCGTACAATATTTTTAAAAGAAATAATTAGTATGTCTGTATAGTACTAATAATAACAGTATTGAAGGCATAAGCGTCAAACGGGCAGCTAGTGTTACATTAGCATCTGTTCTTCAATGGGAAATTAACACGAAATCGAGTGAAATTTTGATGGTGGTAATTCAATCAGCCAGCACAGAAATTTACATTCCCATACAGATATCCTAGGAATAGTAATGTGCTATATTTTTGAGCATTTATAAGTCCATTTCTAATCAGTGTAGCGTTTTTCTTTTGCTTGAGAAATGAAAGTTCGAAAACATTTAAAAAACGCGCGAGAGTACATGACGCGTTCAGAAAACGTTTAAAAGATTAAAACAAACTGAAAGGGGATAATTTGATGGAATCTATTTGGTAGAGAATTTTTTAGTGGCCCAAGAGTTAAGCAGGTCAACTTACTACTTGATGACGTTCTAAGCATAAATTATTGCCCGTTGCTAGTTTTTAATAGTTCCATCACCGCTTATTCTTCTTTTTTGATAGTAATAAAATTTCCCATATCTCTAGTATAGGTGTTGCGTCATTCCTATTACATGTGTTGAGTACTGATTCGATCAACAACGATGCAGTAATTAGTCTCTCTCTCTCTCCCCACCCAATTATATTGAACTTAAGTACAGTGGCTTTATCCCACCGTGTTGTGTAATTATGTACTTATTAATGCATGCATTGTGATAGCTGAGTGTTTTTCTAGATAGTTGATCTTATTCGGGTCTGTCATTCTATATTTAGCTAAATTCCTATGTCCTGCTAATCTAACTGACGCCAACCGGCTAATTTGACCTCACAGTCACTGCATGCAATTTAGGCGGGTTTATTCCAGTGTCATAATAAGAGAGCCAGAAAACTGACTAGTCAGTGCAAGGACTTAAACAAGGAATTTAAACACTTAAAAGAAGCGTTAACAATTAGTAATTATCCTCTACAGTTTACCAAGAAATCCCTATAAACACATAAAACCGATATAATAACAGTAACACGAGTAGAAAGAAATTCACAGCCCCCATTTTGTTACCCTATAAGGAAGGTACATCAGAAAGTTTACGTAGGATTCTCAACAAGGTTGAAATTAAGGCAGCAGTTAAATCTATAGACTTACTCAGAGATAAGCTTTGTCGGCTTAAACATCCGGCAGATTCAATTAGGCAAAATAATCTAATCTACCAAATTCCATGCAATAATTAGAAGATGAAACTACCTAGTTGATATTAACTAGACTAGCCGAACATAGGAATGAATGACAGACCCGTCAACAATCTAGAAAAACACTCAGCTATCACAATGCATGCATTAATAAGTACATAATTACACAACACGGTGGGATAAAGCCACTGTACTTAAGTTCAATATAATTGGGTGGGGAGAGAGAGAGAGAGACTAATTACTGCATCGTTGTTGATCGAATCAGTAATCAATACATGTAATAGGAATGACACAACACCTATACTGGAGATATGGGAAATTTTATTACTATCAAAAAAAAGAATAAGCGGTGATGGATCTATTAAAAACTAGCAACGAGCAATAATTTATACTTGGAACGTCGTCATCAAGGAAATAATGCTGTATCACTGTGCACTATATATCAAATAAACAAATATTATATGGAATGACATTTTACCACAATGCCCAAGTTTTACACGTAAATTAATGTCAAATTTAGTAATCACTGTTAACTACTCAGAGGACTATAGAAGTGCAATTATTACAATGCATGTTATAGATGATGATATACAAGGTGATTAATGATATTATTGACGAGCCTATAGTATATGACCTTAGTCTTGTGATTTTTTGCAATGCTAATCAGATTGCTCATTCCCCATTGCAGCCTCATGGATTCTTTTGACTAAGAGCTTAACTACTTACTAACAATTATCGGTGATGTTTGTAGTAACTCATTATTGTAAATAGTTGATTTCTACAAGAGATCATTTGTGACGTGAACAGTTTTATGATGAAGTTTCTTCAGCTATCGCTGATATATGCTCAAGTCATCAAGGGAACAGGAGTCTCCTCCTGCTTTTAAGTAAACTTTATTAATGACTCCTGAGGCAGAAAAAAGTGGGGATGGATTGAACTGGACTGGACATACACTCTGAAGACCATTTTGGGATATCACGTGTCAGGCCAGGCCAGACCAGACCCTCGAGTGGAAGCCATATGGCAAATGACGAGTTGGGCGTCCGAGCCGAGGGTGATATGGAGGAGATGGTGTGAAGAAGAAATGAAAGGTTGTGGAGAGTCGTGGCGCCAGGTTGAAAAGACTGCAGAGAAGAGAGTGAAATGGAGACATGAAGTCCTATGTTCCACTAGGAACTCAAGGGACAAATAATGATAATAAGGCTTCCTAACAATCAATTCTTAACATGGAAAGATACTTCTCTGCATTATCATTTCTCTCAACTGTAGACTTATTTGACAGATTTTTATCAGTATTCAGTAATGAGGACATGACGTTTTTACTATTCACTGACCAGTTCGTATAAATTGGTATGAAAAATGAAGGTAGTGGGGTAAACTTAGGTCAAAGAAACAAAATTGACAAAAGGCAGAAAATAGCAGAACAGTATGGCATACTGGATGTCGTGTAGCTATCAAAATAGTTCACTCACAGAGCTTGTTTCACCCTACAAAGGTTAACTCAATATCTTTTGAGCATTGCCATGAAAAAGTAGGAATAAGTAAGGCATGAAACATACTTTAGGAACTCACCTTGATCATTCGATGTGTGACATCTTAACTGCCGTAAAGCTTTGATCTGTTCGTGTTTACCGGTATTAAGAAAGCAGCCAACTTAAGTAAAAGCATACTCTTAGTAATATAGCAACAAAACTTGGTCCCTGTGGCAAATTACACTTCTATTTTAATTCGTTTATCTGTTATTTCAGGTGACTTTAAAGGCCGCCCTAACAACCAACGAAATAACCAATTAAGTTTCTCCATTTTGGTTGGAAGGGGAGATTTTCACAAAACAGAAAAATCAAGTTGGTTATTTCAGTTGTTGTTAGGGTGGCCTTTACAGTTATCCACGTGAAGTATGATTGACTTTAAAGACCGCCTTAGTAACTGTTGAGATAACCAATCAGGTTCCAGTATTTCGGCTAAAAAACTAGTTTTTCCATAACGAGAAGTAATTGGTTATCACACCAGTTGCTGGGGTAGCCTCTAAAGTCGCCTATGAGGGCCAGTTTTAAAGGCCACTCTGACAACTGCTGCAATAACCAATTAGGCTTATATATTTTATTGAAAACTACTTTTTGAGCCTGATTACCGAAACCTGATTGATTGTTTAAGTTGTCGTTAGGGTGGCCTTTAAAGTCACTCCCTAAGAGCTATGAACCATATTCCATATTCACGGGTTTATGACAGTAACTATTTATGCATGTAAAAGTGGGTGGAATTTGAGTCAAGAACTAGTAATTAACAGTTGAACATCAACTCAAATAGACCTCACTTTATTCAGCAGGTCCTGTCTTTCCAATTTTAAAATCTCAATGAGTAACAAATACAAAATGACTGCATAAGAAGACAAGCTACAGGTGTTCGACAACTTATCAGAAATTAAATTTACAAGCAGACGTTCATGCAATACTTGACAAAAATATTACTGGCAATGAACTGTTATTTTTTCTCATCACAAATAAACACAATGGATAATCTAGACTACTGTTAATTTGCTCTTTTCACTGTATGAAAGTATATAGGCACTATTCTACCTGAAGGTTTAGGTTATATTGACATAAATACTTCATATTATTTGTATTGGACAAATTTTCATTTGTTGCTTTCAGTTTGAATGTGGTCCATTGAATAACTGGATTAAATAAGCAAACCAAGATGATTCAGTATAGTTTACCTTTGATGAAAATACCTATAAGAACGATGGGAACGCTTAAATCTTTCAACGATACCATTTTCCAAAGCTATACAATCCTATATATATATATATATATATATATATATATATATATATATATATATATATATATATATAATATATATATATATATATATATATATAACACTCTATTATCGGTCAATAGAGTTTAGTTGTATCACTAAGTTAGTGTTAAGAGCGGAAATCAAGAATGGAGAGTGGTTACGTAATAATCTCTTTGACAAAGGAAATAATGAGAAAGGTAAGGAATTTGACAAGTTAAAAATTGTTGGTAGACGGGAAATGTGAAGACTGAGTGTCCACTTGATAAATGTAAAAAAGGTGAAACTAGAAATAAGGGCCACACAAAGCGCTCAGTTTCCAAACGTATCCCTGTGGACTATCCTGGATGGTTATCAAGAGAATATAAATCAATTAACAGTTCAAATGTTGAACATTTGGTCAACTCTGAACATATAGGGAAGTCACTATGTGCCGTTCATAAAGTCAAAAAGGAATAGTTCAAAAGAAGTGAACCTTCGACAGTTGCGTACAGCAGAAGTGCTGGCAGTTCACCAACTAGAGGTTGCATGCAGAAGAAGTACGTTACGTCTTTTATCTTACCATGGTCTTAAAACTTTTACAACTCTATGTCTATTTCATTATAATTAGTAAGTTTACGATTATCACCCTCATTATGACCCTCGTTTCTTGCTTCTTTATATCTACCAAGCAGACACTCTGTCTTAGCATTCCTCATCTGCCAAACCATGCCTACCTCAGACAGTCAAAAGGATAATCAATATGCTCTCTCTCTCTAACTAGATTGGAATGAGAAGTCCTGACTAGGAAGCCAGTGTGAACACCATTAAGCGACAGTAATGCGTCACGAATTCACATGGTAGTCGGACAAAACTCTTGGTGATTGGAGCGAAGTAGAAATCTGGTCAGCAGTCGGACCTCCTAACTCAGTTGATAGAGCATCGGGATGGAAACCCGGTGGTGGCTGGTTTGAATTCGACCGTGGTCTAAATTTTCATAGAGGCACTGACTTGACTGAATTAGTGTTGGAAATCTGAAACTTGTTCATCACACAACAAGACATTAGACACAAATCATCATCGGCGGCGAAATCCAAATCTTCTAGGGTCTTTTCATCGCTTCAGCCAGAGTATGCCCCTCTTCTAACAGCTCCTCACAATTGTCTGTTCCATGATCCAGTCCATCACAGTCAGGAAGATCATCGGTGATAGTAGGTGGCAACCTTGTCTTACTCCTGTCTTCACTTCAAAGATATCACTGAAATTTCCATTGTGAACCATTTGGCATGTAGCATCATACAGCATATAGCTGCTGTTGAATGAGGTTGATAAGGGTTTATGGCATTAAAACTGTAGTGTTGAAGCAAGCAGCTACCAAATTACTTCTCGGTCGATGGTGTGGAAGGCCTTTTCAAAATCGATGAAATTGAGGTTGAGTTGAGTTGAGTTGACTACCATTCTATTTTGAGTTCTATGATGATGCGTAGCGTAGCGTTTCAATTCGATCCACACATGATTTGTTCTTTCTGAAGCCAGCCAGCCAGTTTTGGTCGTAGTTTTGAATGCAGTGGATTTTTCAGTCTCTCGAGGATGATGCGGCATGATATTTTGCTTGCTCCGGGTGGACAGGAAAGTCAATTAGTTGCCGTATAATATGTGTCACTCGGAGCCTGGTTGAAAGATCTGTCGAGGACTGACGGGGTGGACTTTTGCTTAATTTACTGTCCCACTTTTCGACTATTAGAAAAACAATGTTTGACCAACTTTCATTACGAATCAAGGAAAAATTGCAGTGTGGAATTCTTACTCCACTTGGATAGCAAACCTGAAAGCCTTCGAGTTCCGTGACTAATCTGTGAACATGAAATCTGTGGATGAAACCTGGTGACTATATGAAGATGTTTTCCATTGTGAAATAGTATACCTTCCAAAGAAATTCAAGACAAAGCTGTACTAAACATATACTTTGCCATATTTTATTTGTTCCCTATAGTGTGTACCGTTAAGTCAAGAGTTATCAAGTTTGTTGTCGATTGTTTTTTCGGGTAAATTAGTATCAAAAGTTGATAACTGTTATTTTTTGAACTCGGTCAATTCACGACAGAAAGCAAAATCATTCCATGTAACAGATGTGCTGTGATCGTCAGTTTCAAATTGGTCGACCTCATAGCTATTAGGAACTTTTCCAAACTTTAAGACATCAAGAAATTAAAAATATTCACAAAACGACTGTTCAATACATTTTGGTTTTCATCTATTGGTTAAGTCATGTAACTGTACAGTGTGACATTCCTTTCACAATTTGGACTATTTCATAGCTTATAGATTCTCAGAACAAAATAAGTGAAATGACTTCAAATAATTGAGGTTGGACTGTTTTCAGAAAAGGTTGGTTAGCTGCATTTCTAAAGTGGTAAGAAATTAGACGAAACATTTTGTAAGTTAAAAGATGTTTTCATCGTGAATTGAATTAGTATTTATCAGATGGTAAATAGTTAACTATTTTCGAATGCAGATGAACACTTATCAGCTTACTTTTTATTGGTTACACGTTCAAGGTCAAATATATTGAAATCCCATTTGTCGAAATTGCAAAGACACGTTTCAATTTCTGTGCTAGTCTGCAGTGTTGAAATCGGAGAAAGAATATGTTCTGATTCTAAAAATAATAGTAACCCATTCAAAACCAGTGATATTTTTGCATGGAATGAAATGGAAGACAACAAACTAAAGACTGACAACATTTATTGTAATTAAAGATAATTGTCACTGAGTAGTGAGATAACTGGAGAAATATATGGAGAGTGAAGAAATGTAGAACATGTGTTTCATCTCACTGTGAGACTGTGCAGCAGTGAACACTGATTCCACAAGTAAACGATTTTAAGGCACTGAAGTTCATAGGTGAACTCACATCACCATTCAGTTATTATTGGAGTTAATAGGACAGTTCTGTGATGACTAAGTATTGTATTTTTTTAGGTTTCATAATTTAGAGATGGATTATTAACCATTTCATCATATTAACTATTCATGAGATATTCGTTTACTGACTATTAGGTTAGACAGTTCTTCAGTTGAATATATCGAAGACTTGAATTGTACAGCGAACCAAACGACTAATGGGTGCGTACTGTTTAGGAGTACCTTGCTAAGACGAAACAGATGTCCAGTGCTCCCAGGTTTTCAATGGTTCCCCGACTGATGTCAGTCTATGATGAATACTGCCTCTAGATTAAAAATCCCCATTCATCTCAAAAAATACATTACTGTATAGCGCTCACTGGTGACTTGCTTCCAGAAGAATATCACGAAGTTCTAATGAGAAGCCGTGACCTGTGGGGTCAACCAGTCGTAAGTGAAGTGGATGCTAACTGAAGACCTTGGGTGACAGTCACGCTGTATCCTGAATTGACAGAAGTTGAAAATTATGAACCACTGAAAACCGACCCAGTGGCTGGATGGTTAACGCGTTCGCCGTGAAACCTGAAGGTCCTGAGTTCGGTCTGTGGCGGGGTAGTGGGAGCGCACTGCTGAGGAGTCCCATACTAGGACGAAACAGCTGTCCAGTGCTCCCAGATTTCCAATGGTTCCTTAACTGATGTCAGTGCATGATGAATACTACCTCTAAACTAATAGGAATATTTTCTTCTATAGGGTATTAACTGTTGATGAAAATACTTTTCAAATACCCTTTAAGTATTCAAGGGAACGAATGAATAGATAAATACTTTTCTATGTGAAAGTGTAGAAAATGACACATGAAATATACTATGCTCCTCTAAGTTAAACACTGAGCAGTCAGTTGTATGTAGAAAGTGATTAGAATTGACCACAAGAAAGAGAAGAATGCCACGAGAAGATTGAGGGTGAGTAGACCTACTCCACTCACTCAAGATGTCCTACATATTTTTAATATCTGAAAGATAACAATAATCAGGCCTACGTTGAATGTGATGGTCTTATTAATTTATACCACACATCATGTCCTAATGTGGTCAATTATATAGCAACCAAAAACCAAACGTTCAGTCAGATGGTAGATTTGTGTGTACAGAACGTGCATCAACCATCTCAATCGATTCCAGTTAACTTCACCGGTTTGACTTCAGTATTACTTATTCAGGTGTTCCACAATCCGCTGATAAGTTCAAAATGCTTTCATGAGTCATCCATCAAATCAGGTGTAATCTGACGGTACTTTTTCTGGCAAACAGTTACGAAATTTTAGTACCAAAAGGTGTATTCATTACCGCCCCCCCCCCCTCCGCCCCGTCTCAGGTGACTAGTAACGTCAACTTACCTTTTAATGATTTTGCCAAAGATCGAAGTTTCAGCATACTGTCTGGTTCCTTGGATAAATTTGAAGCCTAAGAAATAAAGAAAATATCAAACAAAAGTGAACAAATATTGGAGATAATTTATTTACTTTTTACAAAAATCTGGCAAGAAATGTTTTATGTCATTACAAATATCTACCGTTTGGTAAGTTGTGAATTACATACATAAAATTAGAAAAAAAGTAAGATTTATCTTATAAATGACTAAAACTATGCGTATGATGCAGTTCTGATCATTTCATACGTTTCAATCTTAAAAGCCCCCAGTGACAATCTAATCGCTGTCGTTAATTCCCCTTCAAAAAAAATCAAGTAAGTGTCAGTCTAGTATAATTGTTTTTATATGATACCATAGTTGATTGGACCGAATTGATCGGTGCGCACAGGAGACCATATGCCAATAGAGACCGATCAATTTCCGTCCAATCAAATACGGTATCATCTAAAAAAAATTATACTAAAAACTATACCCATCGCGCAAAAAGTGGCTGTTTTGGCTCGGTGGTGTAGTGGATGACACACTGGCGTTTGAAGCGATCACTCCCAAGTCCGGATCCCGGTGGGAACAATATCACTCACTGGGAGGCAGGTACATCCGGCTGACGAGTCCCAAACAGGACGAAATGCGCATCCTGGATTCCACTGCTGGCCACGATCCATCACTAAGTGTCCGTCTCAGTTTATTACTTCTAAAGAAGTGAGAGTTCTGTTCACTCCTTAATTGTATGTTTGTTGCAGGTTCTTGTGAGAGTTTACTGTTTTTCAGTGAATGCGTTTGCGTCTTTTTCTAACAGTTGTTGTGAAGTTGGTAAGTTACTTCATGAATTGGTCTATGCGAGTTTGTCATTCATACTTCAAATTGTGTAAGACCTTCAGCAGTTTAAAAAGTATTTAACTGAAAACTAATCAGTATTCTTTCAATTTCGGGGTTTATGGGGATTTATTGATTTCATGTTGATATTCATCGTGTACTGACACCAGATGAAGGAACGTTGGAAACCTGAGAGCACTGGATAGCTGTTTCGTCCCAGTAAGAGACTCCTCAGCAGTTTGTACCCATGACCCCACAAGGGTTTGGAATCCAGGACCTTTGGTTTCCCTGGCCAGCACGTCACTATCGAGCCACCGGGTAGGAATCCAGTGGTCTTGGAGGGATTGTGGGTATGCACTGCTGAGGAGTTCCATACTAGGACGAAACAGCTATTCTTTTCCTCCAGGATTCCAATATTCCCCCTAAATGATGTCAGTCCATGATGAATGCCAACTTCTAACCAACATTTCATTGACATCGGCATCATCTAGATTGAACGCAACCTCATAACAGTAGACTAAGCCAGGTTACAGGTATTGCAACGAAGATTACAGATTAACTACATGGTTCACCTGATTTTTAACTGACTATAAAGTGAGTTCACAATGATTGGTCACTGGAGGGCAGCCAATTTCATGTTGTCTAGTCCTGAGTGCTGACCAAATCCTGTCGATCATTTTTCAAGGTGGCCACCAAGTTCGTAGGCTCACAATTGCGGTGAACTTGAACAGATCTTATTTGGTTAGAGACAATCGGCAGGAATTATTAGAACATGGATCTTTCTGGTTTTATTTTAGATTTCGGTAAAACTAAACTTTAGTGACGGCCAATCACGTTCAAGTGTGCACTGACCAATCAGAATGAAGAATATGAAGGACCAAGTAGTTACTGAGGGAAATGGTGCTTTATTTAGAATATAGAAATTTGTTTTACTTGAAAAATAACGAAGAACAAAACTACAAAGGAAATCTATAAGTCAGCCATCAGAACAAAATGGGAGACATTGAGCTACATCCTTGAATGATCAGGCTTGGAGGAACACGGGAACTCTTTGAAAGGGATGTGGAAAGAAACCTGCATAACCATATTAGGAAGGAAGAAGAAACAAGGAAAAAAATAAAATGGATCTCGATGAACACATAGAAACTGATAGAGAAGGGAGAGGAATATGGTGATGGAGAAAGAGAAGATGAACCAGTACAAGGATGAACAACGAAAACGGGAACTGAACATAACATAGAAAACAATGGACAAAGAAGGGAAGAAGAGTGCGCGCAAAAACAAGACACACATTTACGAAACACTTGCAAGCGAAGCAGACCAGGCTGCTAGTAGGAGAGACCTAAAAACACTATATCAAATAATCAGGTTACCATCTGGGAGAGGAGAGATCAACACATTTGAAACCAATGAAAGATAGTGAAGGAAACCTAGTTACCAAAGAGGAGAAACAAAGGAAACAATAGGCTGAACATTTCAAAAAACTCTTCACTCGACCACCACCACCACCACTACCACCTGCGAATTGTCCAGAAATACCACCAGCAACCCAGCAACAGAACTACCAGTCAACACAAGCCCTTCAACAAGAGCAGAAGTAAAGTTCTGAATACCATAAAGTTGCTGAAATTCAAGAAAGAAGCAGGACCAGATGGAACTCCTCAACAAGCACTGAAAACAGATGCACAGACAATAGAGGAAATGCTCACATCACTAGTGCAGAAGTTTCAAAAAGAGGAAGGAAAGGTACCTGCCGGTCGATTGGAAGAAGGGCTACCTTGTCAAACTCCCAAACAATGCAAACGTAAGTCTTTGCAAGAACTGGCCCGGAACCATGTTGTTGTACACACGGAGCAAGCAAAATATTAGGCCACATCATCCTCGAGAGACTGAAAAATCCACTGCATTCAAAACGACGACCGAAACTGGCTGGCTGGTTGGCTGCCTGAATGGTTGGCTTCAGAAAGAACAAATCATGTGTGGATCGAATTGAAACGCTACGCTACGCATCATCATAGAACTCAAAATAGAATGGTAGTCAACTCAACTCAACTCAACCTCAATTTCATCGATTTTGAAAAGGCCTTCCACACCATCGACCGAGAAGTAATTTGGTAGCTGCTTGCTTCAACACTACAGTTTTAATGCCATAAACCCTTATCAACCTCATTCAACAGCAGCTATATGCTGTATGATGCTACATGCCAAATGGTTCACAATGGAAATTTCAGTGATATCTTTGAAGTGAAGACAGGAGTAAGACAAGGTTGCCACCTACTATCACCGATGATCTTCCTGACTGTGATGGACTGGATCATGGAACAGACAATTGTGAGGAGCTGTTAGAAGAGGGGCATACTCTGGCTGAAGCGATGAAAAGACCCTAGAAGATTTGGATTTCGCCGCCGATGATGATTTGTGTCTAATGTCTTGTTGTGTGATGAACAAGTTTCAGATTTCCAACACTAATTCAGTCAAGTCAGTGCTTCTATGTGATGGTTGAGAGACTTGACAGCGCGTTACGAAAAACATTTCCAATAAACTACAGACGTTCATCAACAGCTGCCACCTACGCTCACACGATACTGACACTGAAGATCAGATAGATAGCCGGAAAGAATAAGCAACAAGGAACTCACTCTGACTAGCTGGCAACGAACCAACCAAAAACCCATTGGCTTACGAATATTCAGAAAAAGTGGAGATGGATTGGACATACACTGAGAAGGTTGATTGGGACATCATGCTCCAGGCTAGGTCCTCGACTAGAATTCAAAGGGGAAACGACGAGTTGGGTTTCCGAAGTGAGGGTGACATGGAGGAGATCATGTGAGGAAGAAATGAATGCTTGTAGTGAGTGGTGGAGCCAGGTTGAAAAGTCTGCAAAGAAGAGAGTGAAACGGCTATTTGCTAATGAAGCCTTATGTTCCACTAGGAACTCAAAGGACAAACAATAATAAGTAATCACCCTTTAAACCATACCATTGTCTACATTCCCACTAATCCATGTAAATGATATTGAGGAATTTTCCCCTCCTGATCCTGTTAAGGGTTCTAAGAAATTTCTATGACGAATCCACATTATTTCAAAGTTGTCAGTGTGCAATCCAGTTTGACCAATGAAGTGCTTTTTGTAAGCAATAGCTCGATGGGGGTGATCCATTTTAAACAGAGGTATATATGACTTCCCAACATCTGTTTATATTGCAGTATCCAATGCCGAGCATTTATGCATAGCTTCTAATATATATATTTTTGATCTATCCTCTAATGACAGAAAATATCCTTCGTATTTCGGTCGTATATACCAAGAATCTGTGGTTTATTAAGGCATATGTATCTATAGATATATTGAGTAAGTTATAGATTACTTAGTACTGTTTAAGTCATCTGCCTAGGTTATATTTAGGTCTTCAAGTAGGTATCTATCATGGGCTGATATCAGTTGGAGAAACACTGGAAACCTAGGGATACTAGACAGTTGTCTCATTCTAGTATGGACTTTCTCAGCAGTGCGCACACTTGACCCCGCCCGCCAGGGATCCAATGAGAAGTCGTGACCGATGAGGTAAACCTAGTGAACGCGAGAGCAAATATTCAAAAATGACATTGGGTGATAGTCGTGCTGTCATAAACTGACAGAAGGTAAAAATATGGACAACTGGGTTCCTATCCAGCGGCTTAGTGGTGACGTGCTGGCCACAGAATACGAAGGTCGTGAGTTCGACCCCTAATGGGGCGGGTTATGAATGAGCACTGCTAAGGAGTCTCTTTCTGTGACGGAACAGCTGCTCAGTGCTTCAAATTTTCCAGTTTTTCTTCAACTGATGTCAGTCCATGGCGAATACCAACCTGAAATCAAAAAATACCCACCAACCCACAAATTGAATTGCATTCAATTTTCTGAGCAAGAGATTTATCTGTTTCAACCACACTACCTACTTCAATAAATATCACAAACATATTGCAGTGCAATCTTCGTCATAATTCACCAAAGGTTTATGCAGCGTAAGGCAACATGGTAAACGGACTTAACGAAATGGCTTGAATAAATCATCCCTAACTTGATTGGTTGTCCTCAAGGTCTCCCATCATTAAAGTTTACTTTTACTCAGATTTCAATGCAAGTGATTTGTAGATCCCTCCAAGTATTTTCATTTTGCTTCGTGTAGTGCTGAATTTTTCTGAAAGGAGTTTTGCTTGAGTATTAGTTGTCTAGCATACTGCAACTGTTACCATCTTTAACAAAGCCTTCCAAAAAGTATGTATAGATTTCATCACTTTTTCAATTGACTTAAGTGTGAATATTTAAGTTAATTTACATCCTCAGAAGCCAGTAGACTGTCAGCATTTTAGAATTTGTTGCATATTTCTTCATAAAAGTGTTTTATAATGCACTAATTTTATTACGATTTATTATTTTTCCTTTGGGTTCCTAATGGAATATAAAGCTTCATTAGCATGCCTCCATTTCACTCTATTCTCTGCAGTCTTTTCAACCTGGCTCCACCACTCACTACAAGCATTCATTTCTTCCTCACATGATCTCCTCCATGTCACCCTCACTTCGGAAACCCAACTCGTCGTTTCCCCTTTGAATTCTAGTCGAGGACCTAGCCTGGAGCATGATGTCCCCAATCAACCTTCTCAGTGTATGTCCAATCCATCTCCACTTTTTCTGAATATTCGTAAGCCAATGGGTTTTTGGTTGGTTCGTTGCCAGCTAGTCAGAGTGAGTTCCTTGTTGCTTATTCTTTCCGGCTATCTATCTGATCTTCAGTGTCAGTATCGTGTGAGCGTAGGTGGCAGCTGTTGATGAACGTCTGTAGTTTATTGGAAATGTTTTTCGTAACGCGCTGTCAAGTCTCTCAACCATCACATAGAAGCACTGACTTGACTGAATTAGTGTTGAATATCCGGATCTTGTTCACACTTTATGCTGAGTGCAGTAGATTATCACACTGATTCCAGATTAGTGAAAGCCTTTCTTGCTGTCTTTCTGATCCTGGCTGCTTTGACATCCTCATCTGTGCCGTCGCCACCGCCTGAAGTTGAGACGATGCTGCGTTGCCTAGGTAGGTTAAAGAGACTACTTCCTTTAAGCTTCTTCCGTTAATGGTAATTGGTGCTTGTTGTTCATGCTGTTGTTCGTTGTGTATCTTCATCACCTCCGTCTTCTCTACATTAATCTGAAGGAAGTCCCGTCTTCCATCGCTGCCTCTTCTGTCAACTTGTTAGTTTTCGCCTGTACATCATCGAGTTTGAGCGACATTCAACATAAATCATCGGCTAAATACAAATATTCTAGGGTCTTTTTATCGGTTTAGCGTATGCCCATCTTCTTGCATAATGGATTGGCTTTATTATCTAAATTAGCCATAACAACAACTTCTGTAAACATTGCTTTACTCTTTGTGTAAAACAGTTTTACTGATGATATCACCTTGTCGAAGGAAATCTCTGTATGGCTCTTAGTCTATGGCCTCAGTTAAACAATACTGGTTAACATAAAAAGTCCAAAGTTGTTTTTAACAGTCAGTAATGTTCATTAACCAGCTAGAAGTAAAGGCTCAATAAGAGATCCATTCACTGAGTTCAGAGCTCATAAAAGATGTACCTGGAACAATCAATCGGCAATATACCGGAATCAATTGATCCCGGTACACTCATGCTAAAGTAGTTACCACACAAGTAAGACACCCATCCCTTCTAAAACTAGTTTCAATCAGTACTGCTCATTATACAGAGTTTTGAAGACAATTTTATTATCAAGGGACTGGTACTCAATTTACAATTTAGTACAATTTAAAGTTGTGTTGCCCTGAACTGCTTTTAGTTTAAAATAGTCTTATTCTGCATTCAACAAATTTCATCATGGACTAGAAAGTAATGAGATAGTCATGTGGATTATCAATTAATGATCGATTTGTATCCTATTATTATTATTATTATTAGTCCTTGGGTGGAACATAGGGCTTCAGTAGCACGTCTCCATTCCACTCTATTCTCTACAGTCTTTTCAACCTGGCGCCACCACTCCCCACAAGCTTTTATTTCTTCCTCACACCGTCTCCTCCATATCACCCTCGGCTTGGACGCCCAACTCATCGTTTCCCATTTTGTTTCCACTCCAGGGTCTGGCCTGGCCTGATGCGTGATGTCCTCAAACGGTCTTTTCAGTGTATATCCGATATAACCCATCTCCACTTTCCTCTTCTGCATATTCGTTGGGCAATGGGTTCTTGGTTGGTTTGTTGTCAGGCCAGATTTCATTGTTGCCTATTCTTTCTGGTCAATTTGTATAATATATTTCTTGGTTAAATGGTATTTTAGCTGCAACATTAACTTGCTACATAGTTGTGATAGATTCCAGTCATCAATACAGAAAGAGAGTTACATTGTAATCAAACACAAATGTTCCTTTTGATGAATATTAATAAGAAGAAAATCATGACTAAGGAACTCATGAACAGTTTTCGAATAACTGATCAATTTTCAATTCTATTGGTTAGTCAGACTGAACTCTTTCGTATACCTGTGTATTTAAACTTTTCTATTGAATCGGGAAGAAACTGTATTCAAACAAAACTTAGTAATTAAACCATTGAACATGTAACACAAAAAATGAAACAAGAACAGATAACAATTATAGTAATAAAATTAAAATGAAGTTATGTGAATCAGTTAATCTGTAGATATATGTTTAATTTTGCTTACTTTGACTAGACCTTCAATTAAATCTGCTGTGATTGGATCATTTGTTCGACTCAATGGTTTCATTATCTGATCAACAAATACATCTGAATTGCATATTAAATTTATAGCTTTTTGTAAATCTTTTGCAATTGATAATGGACAACGAACACGAGCTGAATTCAATATTGCAATCACCTAAATTATGTAAAGATATTCATGAAAGAAGAATCATAGATTAATATTTTGTTATATATGTTTATTAAAAGTGTTTTTGTAATGTAGATTAAGTAGTCTGTATATCTCACCGCCTTGTTAGGATAGTTAGTGTACAAGGGATTACTAGGCATTTAATAACTGTTAGAAATTTAGACAAACAAAGTTGACTAGGTAATTCAAGCTATCAGAGTATGATGAAGAGATAATCAATCTTCATTTATGAGAAGGTTTCATGATAAATTAGGTATGTAATATTACCAAAGTGTTCATCAGGCTACGTCATGAAATATTTCAGTCATGATGGAGAATATTTGCAGTTCAGGAGAATAATTTTGATGGTGTTGTGTTCTCAAAACTGGATTTTTTTAATCGTGAAGCTTTCATTATCATTCTAGACATTATCAGCAAAAACTTCAAAAAGAAGCGAGCAATAAGGTTTTCTCTGAAGTTTATTAGGTAACTTATCTAGGTGGCTTTGTGTGTCGTTGATTAAATCAAAACTGTAGATCAGATCGTTTAGATGACACGTTTTTTCATCATTAAAAGAGACGAACTAAAAGACGAGTACAAATTAATCGACAACATTTTCGATGATATCAAATTCAAAACTGAAGAGGAATCAATTCACAAACTTGTATTTTTAGATATTCTGGTAACTAGAACAGATTTGAGTAAATCGGAAACTGAAGTATACAGAAAACCAACTCATGCGGATCAAATTCTAAACTACTATAGCGACAATCCCACAACACACAAAGAAGTCGTATGAAAACATTGTTCAGATGGGCGAAAACACAATGTAGTGCATCAACCCTGAGAAGAAAAGAAGAAAACTATTTGATGACTGTTTTCCAAAAGACTGACTATCCACGTAACTTCATTGAAAAATGTTTACATAATTCGTCATCAACCTCGAAATTCAACAAATGGATTGTCCTACCCTACATGAACAATGTCTCCGAGATCACGACCAGATTATTGAGACCTTTTGAAATCGCTGTATCCCACAAGTCCACAAAATTTCTTCAATATATGTTATGCAGGTCAAAGGATACAAAACACTACATCGAACAGAGTGGTCTCACTCTTAGCATCTGTCTACATAGATATCAACTAGTAGTGAAGCGTCACGACATATCTTAGCCCATATCAATGCATGAAGACAACTCTGGACATGAATTTGGCAGGCAAAATGAGAAAAGCCTGAATAGAGGAAATACAAAGAAGGCCATAGAATTTTTACCAGCTTGGTATTCAGGTCGGTCAGCAATCGACAGATACATTGACATTGACCCCATCTATCAACCAATAAGAATCAACAAGAAGGTCAAATTTCAGGTCATTAGAACAGCCAATCAAAATAAACATAGAGAGAGTGACAAGACCTTGGCAGAAACAATCAATCACACACAAGGCTATCAGGATAAGCCAATAAATAAATTGAGGAGAAAACCTTATCGCCAACTTCTTTCTGAAGTTTTTGCTGATGATGTTGCTTACAATGAAAACGAAGGTCCAGCTCAGCTAACACAACACCAAAAATATCTCAGTTATGAAAAGTCTGATAAAAGTTATGTCAGCTAACTGCGTAAACACCAGGAGTATGGATTATCTCAATTCGTAAAGTTGAATTCCTTAAGGAACCTGTACACACATACAAATTATGAAACTACGTGATTTTCAATGCACACAATCGTTTAAAAGTAGTATATTTCATATATTTTATATAAAAAACAATTGAGAATAAAAATAAGCTCTATTATTCGAATTTAATTGTGTTCTAGTTTCGTCGTTTAAAGAAAGTATCACAATCTGATTGGATTTATACTACAAAAAAGGTTTCAAAGTGGTTCATCAATTAAATATAGTCTGATTTTCAGCTAATTAATATTCATTCGTGACCGGTGGGGGCAAAGCCTGATGGTCGTGAGGACAGTTACTCAACTATGACATTGGGTGGTGGTTGCACTATATCGTGAGCCAACAGAAGTTGGAAATATGGAGCATTGGATTCTGACCCAGTGGCTCAATGGTAAGGTGCTGGCCGCAGGACCAGAGGGTCGTGGGTGCGCACTGCTGAGGAGTCCCGCACTAGGATGGAACAGCTATCCAGAGCCCATGGGTCTCCTTTGTTCCTCCAACTAAATAACAACTTGAAATATTTCCAAATCCCCACGTCTCCCTCAATATTCATATTAGCTTAAGTTGTGACTAAGTGATTTAATTACGACTTATAGGACAAACACCAACCTGAATGATGAATAATGTTTGACTGGGAACTGTAAGATGCTTAGCAGAAATTTCTATACTTCATACAGAGATAAAATTCTTAACATGGAATTATCAGTCCAACCCTTGAATACTGTTGTCCAATAGTACTGAAATCTGAATTTATTCCAAGTATAAAATCTTAGACAATTAAAATATTTTCAAATTCACTTTCATTCAGTAAAGCAGTAGGAACTGCTCAAACCAGCAGACAAACCCTATATATTTCTTCAGCTGAATCATATCAATTTTACCTATCCTTCTTAAGTGACTCAGGTCAATTAGGTAACTGCTGAAAACTTAAATGTGTCAAATTTTCAACTTGACGAAGCGAATACAAGCAAAACGATCCCCAAGCTAATGTTGACTAGTGCTGGTAGCTAACTTGAGAAAACAACCTTGGTTTCTAGGCAAAATGATTTTACATAGCTAAGTGATCAAAAATGACCGTTTTACGAATGATTAAACATTTTATGTTTTTTTGACAGAATACTAGTTAACTCCCGGTTAAGAAGTATCAGTATCTAGCTTCACCTGAATTGCCATCGATTTCTATTGGGTATTTTTCAATTGAGTCTTCATAATTCTATAAAAGCCTCAAGTGTTTTACCATATGTTTTACCATACAGCGTACATTAATCAACAAGATTCTGGAACGCAATGAGGCCTACTTTGGACTTTCAGTGGAACTACTGTCATGCATTCGAAAATGACAAGACTAGAACGAGACGGGTCACATTTTCATCATAAAATAATTTTGATACCGTTAGGTAATTTGAAGTAGACAAAAGAAAATCTTGGGCTTAGGCTTCATGCTTTCATCAAGTCAGTCAGAAAACCGATAACTCAACAGTAACATTTCTGAATACAGTGCTTGATAATGCAAGCCCAGAATTCACAGGTAGCATCAATTCCTCCATGGCTGTGGAGACGAGAAGCCAAGACAAGGAGGCATTACTTCTTGACAACTGTTTCCAGTTATCGAATATCTTGAAAGAGGGTACAATTAGTATGGAGTCTCTTAGCTTAATGATCAGTTTGCAAATTCACTTGATAGGTTTCGATCAGGACTTTGGAATCTGTAACGTAATACTGATTTGTGTCTATCTAGTGGGCAATATATGAGTGACTGCATGTTTACAGAAGATACACTTTCAGCCACTAGTTCAGTCAATGGTCATGAAGTCTTTCCTGCACAAATTGTCTGATTACCATCTTTGCTTTCCTATTTCGAATATGCACACTATGCTACTTATATATTGTCAGTAGCTTATGTGATTTGATGAATGTGTGCTTGTATGAATGAAGGCTGGTCACTGTGCCGAAAAAAAAAATTCTTCTGTTAGAACTTGTTAGCATGAAGTGATCAACCCTATTTTGTAACTGCTTACTGCAGCAGAGAGCACACACTTGAGTCAGGTCACTATCTGGAACTCTTATCTCCGTAGCATCACTCTCGTCGGAACCAGACTTAAAAAAGTACTAGTATAGGGGGAAATAAGCCGATCGTGAGCGTTGATTCGTAAAAGTCCTCAAGTATAATGATAAACCAAACAGGATTAGGTTGACAATAAACTAAGGCTACTCAACCAAGATGCGATACCAATATATACCGTTTCTCTGAGCCATTTACAGAAACACATCCATCCTGATGGGTGTCATTGAAATTCCATGTCTACAATTGCTTCATCTCTTTTCTCACGTTAATGTTGTAGAATTACCTCCACTTGTGTATCATCCTACCTGTTAACATTGCTCTCGACGTTCTAATCCGTGCAGTGACAATTTGGATCGTGACGCAGTAATGCTAGGCTTTACGCTAGTCATTCATGCCTTTTGATTAACAGGATAGTATAAGTGGATAGATCTCTAGATTGCAAAAATTATCCAATGTAAACTTGTTCCCAGTCTGTTTTCATTCAGTACTTGAATTGCCTTTTGGAAAATTAATACTGTGATAAGGCGAAGCGAATTTAAACGACCCACTAAACACCAGGTTGTACAATAAACATCTTTTTTCTCCAAAATTAATCCATACATGCATCCTGACAGTTTCATCTGAACAACTACTTCCAAATTAAGTAAGTAAAAGTAATTCAGAGATCAGAATAAAGTTATAAAAGAAAGACTTCAGTGAGGAGTTTTGTTTTCGTCATTGTTATCACATATAATGGATAAGACTGTAATCCTGAATGTGCTGTGGTTGGTTCAAGAGTCAATAACTGCATAGAAGTTACCTAATAATTTCGATCGCATTCAACAACCCCTCAAAAATGGCCATGGTAACCTAAGTGGGAGTTTCAACTCAAGGAATTGAGAAGAACACAGATTAGTGCGTAAATCAATTAGAAACTAGCATATGAATTGAAAATATACATGACTGCAAAATGGGAAAGTACGCCGTAGTTGAAGAGCCAATACTCAGAAACAAAACTACAACATCGAAGCCAGTAATTCCTAGCATGGCTCAGTGAAGGTCAAAGCAAGTTGACCAATAGATTATTGGAGAAAATTTAGTTAACAGTTGACAAACAGTCCCAAAAATGATTCGTTTATTGTCGCTTAAAAAATGCAACAGAATTTTTTTAAATGGTTTAGGGAAGCGTTTACTTTGCAGTGTTGAATCGCCTCAGACAGTATAAAGATGGAAAGCAGAATTGCTTGGTTATAAGCAGCGTTTCCACTCACTTATCAAAATTGATTTAATTCTAAACATCATGACAATCTCAATATCATCATATAAAATTTTAACTTACCCTTCTCCTTGTCTGATAATTATAATTTCGAGTTGCTATGTTGTGTCAAATTGTTTGACCTATGTTGGTAGATGGGATTCTGTCCGGATGCCTCGATACCGTATGAGTATTCATTATGCTGTAGTTTGCTTGATGACCAGCAGTGTAATCCAGGACACGCGTTTCGTCCAACTTGGGACTCGTCAGCTGAATGTACTTATATCTTAGTAAGTGGTGTTGTCCCCACTGAAACTTGAGTCTAGTACTCATCGATTCAAACTTCGAACAGTTCTCCGCTTGGCCACTAAAGCATGACAGCCAACGAGTATCTCCTGTTGTTATATTGGGTCGAGTTACTCGACCTCTTCTTCACACCGACAACTGTTTACTCAGTCTGTTACAGATTCTCTATATCTATCAGGTGTAAATTAAACTTATTCCCCTATCGTTACTAATTCATATTGTAACTTATTTTACTACTTCTTACGTAACTTTCATTCTTATGTCACAATTCCTAACTGAAACCTACTAAGACATACTGATTTTCAGCCTAACTATCTGAGATAGGGTGGTTTGACGAACTTGTGTCAATGATACTAAAGGATGTGTGATTGACGGTGAAATGGAAATCTACGCCGTTGGGGGATTCGAACCAGCAGTTTCACACTAATATATTTTTATCATTCACTACGAACAGTAATTGTTCAGCTTTTGAGAATGATTCTATTTTATAGTCTGTTTATTAGAAATATCACACAGTGAAGGAACAGTATCATTTACTGAATAACGTTTCGGACACAATTCATTGTCCATATTCATATCAGATAATGCCACAACTTCGAGACAGAGTTTGTATAGTCCTAATCTTCTCTCCTTCTCTGTGATGACAAGAGTAGTAGAATTTTCCATATAACTGGGACAAGTGTAGAATCATTTCGATTGCATGTATTTGGCGTTGATTCGATAAACTTCCTTATTATGTGATGTGTAGTTGCATGCAAAGCTATAGTCGAGTTTTTTTCTGAATTTCCTATCCTATTAGGATTTAGTGGTTTTGATCAAGGTAAGTTTTTGTGCTCTGTTATTGTAATCGACCCTGGTCGACTGCTTTGACCTACGTATTTGACTTCGCAATCATATAAAGAGATTTCGTAAACCCGATTATTTATATCGATGATCCTATGGCTAAACCTTCAGTTTGTTTATATATTTTATTTTGGAACTTAAAAACTGTAGATGTTAGACACAATCCTAATGAAAAGATGTTGCCATGGGATCACCAATATCCTCTATCGTCGCAGACATATTGATGGATAGTTGGGAACGGATAGCCCTTCAAACATTTAGTCCTACTCCACAGATATGGTTCCGATATGTAGATGATACGTTTACAGTAGTGAAATTGGAATACATCAAAAGGTTCCTGGCACATATGAACTCAGCAGTGAATGCAATCCAATTTACCTGTGACTAAGAAAGTGATGAAAGTGAGCTAGCAATGTTGGATTGCAAGATTAAATGAATACAAGACAAAAGTTTAGAGACTAGTGTCTATAGGAAACCCACGCATTGCTACTTATACTTCAAATCCTCCCACCCCATTTCAGTCAAAGTAGGTCTAGTTAAGTGCCTAGGTGATAGGGCGAAAAAGCTTACTAGTAGATCAGAAAATCTACGACAAGAAATTAGACACACCAAGAACACTTTGTGTCTCAATAATTGCCCACTAAAACTTATAAATAAATTCATAAGAAATCGAAAGAAAAATATTAGCAGTGGTAGTAACAGCAGTAATACAGATGTTATTAATAACAATTCTACTACTAATGGTAATAATGGTGACAGGCTTAAGAGAGAATTCAAAGCCTCTGTTGTGTTACCATACAAGGAAGGCACCTCAGAAACATTATGAAGAATTCTCAATAAGGCTGGCTGGTATTAGAGTGGCATTCAAACCAACAAACTCACTCAGAAACAAGCTTTGTAGGTTAAAAGATCCTATCGATGCAATTAACCAAAATAATCTGGTCTACCAAACCCCTTCCCTTGCAGTGATTGCGAGGTCAAGTACATAAGTTGGTTGGTCAAAGTAGTCGACTAGGGTCGATTACAATAACAGAGCACAAAAACTTAACTAAATCAAGATTTGTAGATCCTTCCTAATAAGATAAGAAATCTAGAGAAAAGCTCGTCTATAGCTCTGCATACGATGACACACAATCAGACAGTAGGATGGGTTAGAGTGACAGTGTTGGAAACTAAGTTGTTTGGTTGGAGGGAGAGATTGATAACGGAATCTTTGTTTATCGAATCAACACCAAATACATGCAATCGAAATGATTCTACACTTGTCCCAGATATATGGAAAATTCTACTACCCTTTTCATCACAGAGAAGGAGAGAAGATTAGGACTATACAAACTCTGTCTCGAAGTTGTGGCATTATCTGATATGAATGTGGACAATAAATTGTGTCCGAAATGTCATTCAGTAAATGATACTGTTCCTTCACTGTGTGACATCTCTAATAAACAGACTAAAATGGAATTACAATCAACCACAGTGCCCAAGTTTTACTCTTAAATTTTGAGAATGATGTTGATGAATACAGAGTTATTCACTGGTGTTTATTTTTAATCGTGATTCATTGGAAACATTGAGATCTTCAGTATATCAGTGGAATAAGGCAATCTCTTTATCTTACCGACAGTTTGGTATAAGAAGGAATCAGCTCTTAATACCAGCCTGAATGCATCATTTTAGGACAGCTGAAGGCCAGATAAATCGAAGGGATGAGCATAATGTATAAAATCCCAGAGTGTTTCACTGTTAGATATTCTCTTCATTATCACCTACGTCATCACTATCATCAGCCTTATACGTCATCATTATAGGTGATCCTAATGAGGTTTAAATCATTCAGTCAGTTAATTTCCACTCAATTAACTCACTCCCACATATAATCAGACAATAATCTAACTGATTAACCGTATGTTTTACATACACATGCCACTTATTCACATGTAATACAGCTAAGAGAAGTTTTAATGTTGTACATACTGTTACCAGAGAAAAAACTCTGTTATTCTATCTCTCTTGGTTAGTGATTCCAGTGAGTATTCAAACTGCTGTCTAGACAACATATTTCTCCTCTCATTAACCTATACATACATTTATGTCAATTAGTCTGGATTAATGAATCCCTTCAGCTAGACCTTCTTATCTCTCCGTTTTTGCCTCCCCCCCCCTCTTACCCTCATCTTTCCACTCTCTCTGTCTATCTTACACCAAAAAGTTACTTAACTGATTTTGTACTGTTTTCTTATTTTTCCTTCTTTGAACATTAGTCTGAGTAACTGAATTATGAATACAGAAAGACTATATTAATGAAATTTCAGACAAGTTAGTAGCATGAGACATGAAGTTGAACAAAGAGAGGGAATGAGGATAAGAGGTAGATGGAAAATTGACACAACCGTTTGTAAAACATATATTTCATAAGTCTCCATGTAAGCGGTGAGAACAAACAAATGTTTATGATAATTTACTTGGTTGTGGCTAGTAGAGGAATCTAGTACACATGTTTCATCCGACTTGGAACTCGTCAGCTGCATTTACCTGCACCTCAGTCAGCCATGTTGTTCCCACCGAGACTCAAACGTCGTACCTACTGTATCAACCGCTAATATGATATTCAGTAGGTCACGGAGACAAGATAGCCACCTCTTGTACAAGGGATATTAGTTGTTACTATTTGTTTAAATGCTTGTAATTCTCATTTTTTTTTACTGAATGGAATACCTGATGACGAAACGCGCGTCCTGGATTCCTCTGCCTGACAAAAGCAAGTAAATTATCATAATAAATATTCAAGTAATGTCGAAGCATCCGCATACGAACCCATATGCCAATGGAGGTCAAACAATTCGACCCAGTAAAACAACAGAGAATTACAATTAGTAATTAGAAAATGTTTATAGTTATTTATTATCATTAAAATGTGTAATTACTATACATCTTTTCCAAGAGGAGATTTGTGTAATATCTTGCACGTCTGCAGTGTGTTACAGTTCGTCTGTAATGATGATGCTGACTTATAAGCAAATGAAACCAATCAACTAAAACTTTTAGCCAGGTAACAGCTACCTGACTTACATTCTACGGTTAGTATGTTTTCTTACGGTTTCGTATCCAATGTGAATTTCCTTTCTCCCTAACATATACTAGTGATGATTCTGAAGAAGGTCACTGAAAAATACACCTGTTGCTTAAGTTACACTGTTAACCGCTATAATTAATAAAGAGATCGAAATACATGTGATTTCTGATATTGTGAACAAGATAGTTGTAAGCTGTATCAGTTGTAAACTACGTACTTATTTATCAATTACTATATCATTATTATTACCATTACTTTAATTACTAGTAACACTTACTTTGCACATAGGTGATGAAAAGTCAGGCATTTTGACTGTAAAAGTGCATTGATATTACTCATATTGACTGCATCTACAAAAAAAAAAGAAGATAGAAGAATGATGAAAAGGAAAGTGGCTGATGTATATAATTCTATTTGTCCCTTTAGTTCCTGGCGGAACATACAGATTCAGTAGCACGTTGCCGTTCCACTCTCTTTTGTGCAGTCTTTTTAACCTGGCTTCACGACTGCCCATAAACCTTCATTTCTTACTCACACGATCTCCATATCACCTCAACTAGTTAGTAGTTCACTAGTTTACTAGCCGATCCTAAGCCCGGAAAAAGACGGAAGGTTATACGTGGGGCTATATATATATATATATATATATATATATATATATATATATATATATATATATATATATATTTAGAAAATAAACTTTACAGCTATATAGATTATGCTTTGAAGACTGACTCACACACATAGTCTGACCCATAAGCAAACTTTTGTGAATGAAACACACCCGGTGATGCAGATTCAATTCTTGGAGGTGAGATAGATCCTCCCAAGGTTGGAGATACACTCTGTTGACGATTGCGGAAAAGACATAAGACCTAGAGAGAGTAGAACTCTTTTCTGGTTGATTCTGAGTAATTAACATTGAAGATAATCAGTGAAGTAGTATAATACTAGTCAACTTAGTGACTACAACCCAATCGTGATGGATATGCCTTGTACCACAATCAAAAACTTGACGAATGAACCAGTTACCTGTCAGTGACTATGTCATATTAACTACATCTTTGAAGCCTCATTAATTCTAATAACGTAAACGTATCTTAACGACACACACACACACACACAGATAAAGACCACACGTAATTAGCTACATTTGTATTCCTCTTCTTTTGCACTGTTTAATATCATTCCATCTAAGATGTCTCAGTGAACTGAAACCTAATCAAATTTTATTTTGATTTGTAATAAATAGAAGAAAATGAGGACATTTGTCATAAAAGCATAGTGTTAGGTAAGGTCGGAACAGACAGTACTACTTTGATTTATTTATTGTGTGTCCATATATATTACATATGTGTATGTCTGTTGCTGACTTTGGTTGAGACTAGTTCCTACACTCTTTCTGCGTCTGTTACTCATTCCTGAACTCTTGTTTCATAGACAATCAATTATTCAATATCTGATTAACACAAGATAAAGATTGTATTTGGGTAAGTCACAGCGGGTTTGAAATCAAGTAGTTCCAACATTTCGCACAGAAGTCTGGTCCGAGCTCCTTCGGGGAAAGACTTCCATGAGAAATGTTGGAATTATTTGATTTCAAACCCACTGTGACTTACACAAATATAATCTATATCCAATGTCAACCTTTTACTCAGCGGCCAATATTTGCCATAATATTCATTCAAATCTTGATCATCAGAGGTGATGATGATACGTAACCAACACCACCAACAACAACAAAAAGCTCTTATCACTATCAACGGGAGAAACTTAAAGGAAGTGGTCTCTTTCACCTATCTAGGCAGCACTGTTTCAAATACAGACGGCACACACGAGGACGTCAAAACCAGCTAGGATCGGAACAGCAAGACAGGCATCCATTCACCTGAAACCAGTATGAAGATCTTCTGCACTGCACTCAACGTAAAGCGTGAACAAGATATGGATTTTCAACATTAACTCAGTCAAGTCAGCGCTTCTACATGGTATAGAGACTTGGTGGTGCGTTACGAGAAGCACTTCCAACAAACTACACACATTCTTCAACAACTGCCACCTACACTGGCTCGTTACTGAAGATCAGATGGATTGTCAGAATAATGAGAATAAGCAAGAAGAAACTCATTGTGACTGGCTGACTGGCTGGCTGGCTGGCTGGCTGGCTGGCTGGCTGGCTGGCTGGCTGGCTGGCTGGCTGGCTGGCTGGCTGGCTGGCTGGCTGGCTGGCTGGCTGGCTGGCTGGCTGGCTGGCTGGCTGGCTGGCTGGCTGGCTGGCTGGCTGGCTGGCTGGCAACGAACCAACCAACAACCTATCACTCAAAAATATGCTGAAGGAAGTGCGGGTGGATAGGGGATGCACTGAGAAGATCATTCGGGGACATCATGCGCCAGGCCAGGGTGTCGAGTGGAACCGGGATGGGAAGCGACGAGTTGGGCGTCTGAGGCGAGGATGACATAGAGGAGATGGTGTGAGGAAGAAATGAGAGCTTGTGGGCTGTCGTGGAGCCAGGTTGAAAAGATTGGAGAGAATAGAGTGGAATGGAGACGTGCTACTGAAGCCCTATGTTCCATTAGGAACCCAAGGGACAAGTAAATAATAAAATAATGCAAAACCAAATTAATAAGTAGACATGATCAGAAGCCTAAACTATTTAACAGTTTGATAACATACTTCGTTGTGGTTAGCAAAAGAATGCAGAACGCGCGTTTCGGCTCAGCTGCATGTATCTGCACCCCAGTCAGACATGTTGTTCTCACTGAGACTCAAACCTCAAATCTATCACCTCAAATGCCAAAGCGTTGTCCACCAGCCCGCAGAGGTATGATAACCATCCCTCTTGTAAAAAGGGTATTAGTTATTACTATTTGTTGATATACTTGTAGTTCTCCTCAGTTTTAATGGATCGAATTGTTCGACCTCCACTGGGCTTCTATTCAGATGCCTCAGTAATACTTGAGTATTTATTATGATAATTTACTTGGTTTTGGCTAGCAGGGGAATCCAGTACGCATGTTTTGTCATTTTTGGGACTCATCAGGTAGATATACCTTCATAATGAACCCAACTCCACAGCTTGTTCACGAATTTGTTGAGAAGAAAAATTCTTCCATGGATAAAAACCTTTTTATTCTAATTCATGAATAAATGGATATATTTTGTCAGTTAAACAACGCACGAGTAATTCATTGTGGAAAGAAAAGTTGTTCCAAGTGGTAATTAAAATTTTTAATTCTAATGCCAGAGAAATAATAAGAGTAAAAACATGTATACTTTAGTGTATATACTGCTGACTGACATGAAGAAACTGGACACACAAATCAACAGTGCTCTCTGAGCACTCAATGGTGTTTAGGACATTGAGTAGTTATCTCATTTTGAGCACGTCATAAATTTGAGATTTGTGCACTGGCTTTCAAATGAAACCACCATGATGTCTGAAAATTGAGTTTTCACTAGTCCCATTATTCTTACAACAAACTCAAAATCTTGAAGACAGCTGCTGCGATATCTATTTAAGGGATGATTTGTATTTCGATACGTGGATATTTATCATTCGTCCAGAGAAATGGTAGTGAAGAGGTCTATATAGTAGGGTTATACCCTATACGGTTATGATGTTCGGAATCACTGGTTCGATACCATCGCTGATAGGACTCAACATCAATCACAATAAATTCGGTGTATTCACTAAGTAACTTCTAGTAAACTCCGAATATTTTATAAATTTTTGGTTATACTTTTCTGTTCTTATATCCTCCTAGTTTATTTCCTCTTGCACTTCCCTCTTCTTCCCACTTTCGTGATTTTGTGCAGCTTATCAACACTACACTTTTGACAAGAGCACCACTTCATTATGCCATTCTGTTCATGTAACTCAAAGCATTTGAGCTTAATGAATCTGTTAATACAGTCTTTACACCATCCAGTCGTTTAAAAGTAAGCAAGTTCATACTGCCTAGAGTTCTGAGTGCCGATCAAGTTCTGTCGATCATTTTCTAATGTCGCTTCAAAGCTGAAAGACTCAACAACATCATTATTGTATCATTATTTATTTGTCCCTTGGGTTCCTAATGGAACATAGGGCTTCAGTAGCACGTCTCCATTCCACTCTATTCTCTCCAATCTTTTCAACCTGGCTCCACGACAGCCCACAAGCTCTCATTTCTTCCTCACACCATCTCCTCTATGTCATCCTCGCCTCAGACGCCCAACTCGTCGCTTCCCATCCCGGTTCCACTCGACACCCTGGCCTGGCGCATGATGTCCCCGAATGATCTTCTCAGTGCATCCCCTATCCACCCGCACTTCCTTCAGCATATTTTTTGAGTGATAGGTTGTTGGTTGGTTCGTTGCCAGCCAGCCAGCCAGCCAGCCAGCCAGCCAGCCAGCCAGCCAGCCAGCCAGCCAGCCAGCCAGCCAGCCAGCCAGCCAGCCAGCCAGCCAGCCAGCCAGCCAGCCAGCCAGCCAGCCAGCCAGCCAGCCAGCCAGCCAGCCAGCCAGCCAGTCAGCCAGTCACAATGAGTTTCTTCTTGCTTATTCTCATTATTCTGACAATCCATCTGATCTTCAGTAACGAGCCAGTGTAGGTGGCAGTTGTTGAAGAATGTGTGTAGTTTGTTGGAAGTGCTTCTCGTAACGCACCACCAAGTCTCTATACCATGTAGAAGCGCTGACTTGACTGAGTTAATGTTGAAAATCCATATCTTGTTCACGCTTTACGTTGAGTGCAGTGCAGAAGATCTTCATACTGGTTTCAGGTGAATGGATGCCTGTCTTGCTGTTCCGATCCTAGCTGGTTTTGACGTCCTCGTGTGTGCCGTCTGTATTTGAAACAGTGCTGCCTAGATAGGTGAAAGAGACCACTTCCTTTAAGTTTCTCCCGTTGATAGTGATAAGAGCTTTTTGTTGTTGTTGGTGGTGTTGGTTACGTATCATCATCACCTCTGATGATCAAGATTTGAATGAATATTATGGCAAATATTGGCCGCTGAGTAAAAGGTTGACATTGGATATAGATTATATTTGTGTAAGTCACAGTGGGTTTGAAATCAAATAATTCCAACATTTCTCATGGAAGTCTTTCCCCGAAGGAGCTCGGACCAGACTTCTGTGCGAAATGTTGGAACTACTTGATTTCAAACCCGCTGTGACTTACCCAAATACAATCTTTATCTTGTGTTAATCAGATATTGAATAATTGATTGTCTATGAAACAAGAGTTCAGGAATGAGTAACAGACGCAGAAAGAGTGTAGGAACTAGTCTCAACCAAAGTCAGCAACAGACATACACATATGTAATATATATGGACACACAATAAATAAATCAAAGTAGTACTGTCTGTTCCGACCTTACCTAACACTATGCTTTTATGACAAATGTCCTCATTTTCTTCTATTTATTACAAATCAAAATAAAATTTTTTGTTATTGGTGGTGTTGGTTAGGTATCATCATCACCTCTGTCCTCTCTACGTTCACCGAGATCATCATAGTGTCCTTTAATCGATGCTAGTTGGTTAGATGCAATCTGCAGGAATTGCTAGTCGACCTAAATTTTCTGTATACTGGCAATCATCAGCAATAGAACTTGGCCAGCACTAAGGATTAGACGACATAAACTTGTTACCGTCAATTAAATGTGTATAATCCAGTCATACAGGAGATCAATCATGGCTCGAATACTTCAGTCAAAACGTCTGTGACTGTGGGACTGTTTTTTACGGGATCCAATCTTACAGTATATATCAGTCGTTTTGAGGTAGCAGATGTTCCTTGCTGATGAGTGCTGACTGGAGATTACTTTCATCTAACTAACATGTCAATCTTTCCCTATTCATTATTTGATCATGTTTTACGTCCTTGTCTCCGTTTGATTTTCGTGCAACTAACAATCCTTTACAGTGCATCACTCAACTATATATATATATATATATATATATATATATATATATATATGTATATATATATGCATAAGCATTTGTAAAGGTGCGTTTATTACATGTCGATAAAGGATTTAAATGTGCTTTGAGAATGGGATCAGACAGTGCTAGTCTTCTTTATTGAGCTCTAGCTTTCTACCCGTCTGTCTGTTTGTCTATCTATCTACCTATCTATGTCTATCTATGTCTGTTGATACGAACGATCGATTTCAATTGAACATTGAGCGGCAACGACATTTATTTATAATGAATCAATGAATGTGAATATGCATAACTTAGCATAAAATAAACTTTTCAAACTGAATGTACACTTTTTTTTCTTAAAATATATAAAAATACATATCTACATGTTTTATGAAACTTTTGCTATTGTTTATTTTTTGTTTTTGTTTTCGTTTTGTTCGAAATCACGAAAATCGGAAAGAGGTAAAATGTCACATACCTGAATTTCTACTTCTTCGAACTGATACAAATTCTTTAAATTTTCTAAAAAGTAACAAGAAGAATTATGTGTCATAATAGAAAGTATAAAATATTGTTCAACTGTATGAATAATTATATGTTACTCATAATCGTGGATTAAAAAATAAAGGGAATATAACAATAATAAAGTATACTGTTTATGGTAAGTAAAACTACTTAAATATAATGAGTAGTACAGAAATCTGTGAACCTAGTTGTGTAGAGGTAACGTAGTTAGAAGATGTAGATTGTCTGAAAAATCTTATGTATTTGCGATATACATTTCGAACAGTCTGATTACGAATCTACTTGTGGAGGGGTGGGGGGAGAGACAAATATGACCTATAGGGATTCAATGATACGAAAGATAATGATAAGATTTGAAGACAACCTTGGTAATAAGACTAGATAAGTATTGTTTGGGTAGGGTTAGCGTAAGGATAAACTGTTTTTGCACACACAATGGGGGGGGGAGGGTAAATTTGTTTATGACTAGCATTTCGACAAACTTAAGTATTGGCCCCTGACAGTTTCTAGACAAAATTGTAAAGGTTGTTACATTTATCAATGATGATGGTTGTCTTCCACCTGGGCTAATCGATGTTTATGAATCCAGCTGCTTTTGTAGCCATTTTGATACATATTCCCCTACCCTCAAGAGCATATCACAATTAGTCCTCTCTATGTATGCTTGTCCACACATACACGTAAATTTAGAAACGCAGTGAGAAATGATGCAATCGTTTACACACAGTTGAGGTTTATATTACAGCAGCTGTTTAATCTTATCAACTACGATAAGCTGCTTAGCTGCATATCAAGTTTTGCTAACAGCAGACCTTAACCTCCTTTTTAATATTATGCTATTAGATTCTCCTCTGTATGGTAACATGATGTACATGCATGTCTTCGAAACAGAGTACAGACTAGTTTTCAATCCTGGCTAATTCAATAGATATCCATTTCCCATTAATGTTTTGTTTAGTATTTTGATGTCATCATTCATTGAGTTGTTGTCCTTCATCACTTCCAGTTTCTATATAGAATGTCTTAACAAGTAAATTTATTTCAAGTTGTTATTCATCGCAGACTGACATCAGTAGGAGGAACAAAGGAAACCTGGGAGCATTGGACAGCTGTTTCGTCCTAGTATGGGACTCCTCAGCAGTGCGCACCCACCACCCCACACCAGTAGGGACCGAACCCACGACCTTCAGGTTCCGCGGCCAGCGCGTTACCATTGAGCCACTGGGTCAGAATCCAATGCTCCATATTTCCAACTTCTGTTAGCTCATGATATATAGCGCAACCGCCACCCAATGTCATCGCTGAGTATCTGTCCTCATGGCCATCAGGCTTTGACTCCACCGGTCACGACTTGTCATTGGAACTTCGGGAATACTTGTCGAAGCTAGTCACTAATGAGCACCAGTTCAATTAAATTTTGAGGGAGTTGTGGAGATTTGGAATTATTTCAAGTTGTTATTAATCGTAGACTGACATCAGTTGGAGGAACAATGGAAACCTGGGTCGGGGGTGCGCACTGCTGAAGAGTCCCATACTAGGACGAAACAGCTGTCCAGTACTCCCAGGTTTCCTTTGTTCCTCCAACTGATGTCAGTTTACGATGAATAACAACTTGAAATAATTCCAAATCTCCACAACTCCCTCAAAATTAAAGTAAATTTATGATCAGATTGTTCGAAGTGCATAAAGTGAAAGTAACATATTTTTGAGATAATGTATATCTTCTAATTACGTAATCTAGAATAGGGCTAGTTTAATTTCATAGACCAGAGATGATTGGAATTGATTTTCATAATAAGGTTGAATAATAAAAACCATTATAACAGTAAACACAACTAAAATATTCATTCGAAATCTAGAATAAATGAAACTGTTCAACAAAGTAGTACTTTATGCGTATAAGTTATTTTAAAGTCTTGCCGGAACCTTCCATCGAGACATGAAATACCTGACGAAACAGAAAAATTATGATGCCTTCCAATTTTTTGTATGAAGAAAAGGTGAGATAACAGGCATTCACTTGTGGCAAAGAAATCTGAAGTGGATAGTAACCACCAACTCGTATAACTTTACTCATGCAAAGAAGAGAGACCGTGTACAACAGGAACAAGTTAGATCATATTGTGATAAATTTCCTACTAGCATGTGTGACTGACGACAGTTCTTATAACAAAACAATATCAATTCCAACTGTGTAACGTTCTGTATCGATACAGTTATAAGCTTGTATGCATTTAACAAGGAAGCAATGAAATGTAATATTCCCACCTTATTTTAATTTTTAGTAAGAATGTTTGAAATACGGAACTAAGAGTATGCAAAACCAAGGGATTCCAGCTCACTGATCGAATGATAAAATGCTATCTGCGAACTTGATGCCCTTGGGGTGGTGAGTGTGCACTGTTGAGGAGTCGCATACTAGTACAAAACAACTGTTCAGCGCTGTTAGGTTTTCAGTGCTTCGTTAAAAGCTATCTGAGATAGCTGTGCTCTGGTACGCTGGTGTTACTGATGTTGGTTAATGCTTGATCACTTACAACCAGATGTATGCAAACCTATAGAGCCGTTTATCTGAATAAATTCGTACGCGTGTGTTAACATTTCACTGAGGTGAAACTAGGTAATTTAATCTGCTCATTCAATGCACCATCGAACACAACCATGAAGAACCAAGACGTAATTAACGCGTGCAATATAAACTGAATTATCGATAAGATACACTCCTTTGATAGGCAGTTCTTCTGACTAAAGATTTGTATTAAAGAAAGAGAAAAGAATGGCAATCAAAGAGTGCTGGGGAATTATAAGGTGACCTGCATAAATGACAACACCGATATCGTCTGATGAGTGGCTTACACACATAAAAATACCAATGGAAATCTCAAATGAAGTAAACTATTAGTTATTCCGGTGGCTTGGAAGGTTAATATATCGATTACAACTAAAGTCAATAATTTAGCCACACAAACTGTTACATTCTAAAAGGATGCTTCAGGTCTTTTAAAACTCTTCTTATTAACTATACTACGACTCATATGATAACTTTGATTCCCTCTTTACCAAGAACATACATATACCCAGTGTCTAGGATCCATAGTCTGGCTACATATCTATCCAGCTTAGCTCTAAAATGTTCCCATAATGTTCTTAAGTCAACAAACGATTGATTTATACTTCATCTTTAGTCAAAAATGCTTACAAGCTAACAAACCAAGTGAAAGAGTTAGTCATTTTCAAAATAACAATGCAAACTTGTCAGAAAAAAACATGAAGGGTGCACTAGCCATAAGTGAAAGATCTCAACCCAATGAAGTCGAACGCAACAGCTTGACGACAATAATATGATAAATTTCAAAATAGAAGACCGTAATATATAAATTCTAAATTGCCTTCGAATACATGATGATGCTTGGAAATCTAGAAGAGTTAGACTGATGTCTTTTCTCACCTTTGTCAAAACTCTTCAACTGATGAAAACTGTTGTGTAGGTAAGGTTAGTCATACTGTTACTAGTTTTTATTCTCTCTCCTCTCAAGGCTGAATTGTCATCGGTTGTTAACTATTTTAACGTATATGTGAACGATCTATCTTCTCTTCTTCTCTTCACTTGTCGGTGGTATTGTTGTTGTGGTAGTTGGCGTTCTGATTTGCGTTAGAGTCGATTTGTTAGCGCGTTAGGTTTGTATCGTTCGTAGTCTGCTAAACTCGTATCGCTCATAGAGTCTTAGGTCGTACTACTGGTCATAGCAAATACATTTACTTACTTCGAACACCCACAGATTTCCCCAGTTTCCTTAAAGTTAATTTAACCTAATAAGCCTCAGTCTGGTTGTTTAATTCACCGACAATGATATGAATGGATCATATGGATCTATGAATCACTTCTAAGAATCCTAAAGATTCCTTGTTTTTCTCCAGGTGAGTCTGCATCCCTTTTGTGAGTTTGAGACTAAAGCATATGCGCAAAAATAGAGTTAAGCACACAATGGATAACGAGAATAAAATTTACGATATGATAATTTAAACATTGACAGAATGCAAAGTCCTATCAATGTTTTCACTAGAATGTTTAGTATGCTCTTTCCACTTCTTAAACACTAGCAGTTACTTCAGGATTAGTCTGTATCGATGCTTCATCTGATAACATGGTTGACTCACTTGGCTCACTAGGATCAACAAACGAAGCTGTATCTAGTCAGGTGAGTTAACAGCTGAGAAAATCTTAGCATAATTATAAAAGATTAGATTGTTTTTCACTGCAACATATCATTTATAATGCCATCGAGATATTCAATTGCATAATACAAAGGTTGACTATAAGGTGTAGTAGTGAGCTGTGTCCTATCATGTGTCTGGGCAAAAAGTCTACCAAAGTTGAGGAATTTGAAGTTTTATAGCTTTAGTCATCTCTAGCGTGTTTTAGGAACTCCACGTGAGTACTTCAGAGGGTTGGGCGTAGAATACTAAGCAAAAGAAGTAATTCATTTATGAAAGTAAGACTACATATTATATAACTTCATACTGTATGTTAACATGAGTTAAATCACAGTGGAAATTAATTCACCTTGACAATATCAAGACGTAGGATCAATTCATGAAACTTTTGAACTGTTTGCCTTAATCTTATAAATGAATTTAGACTTTCTCATCGTAAGACAACCGAGATCATTGACTATCAACTATCTTAGCACCTGTATATATGGAAAATATGCAACAGAATGAACACCAACAACAACTAAAGAGATGAGATGAGATGACAACTAACTGACTATTTAATGACAGAAAAAGTCAACTTGCTTCGCATGCATGAGCAAGTGATACTTGACATGGAAATGAGAATAGTCAAATGAGAAGCATTAGGTACACTCGATATGTCTACACTCTTTATATGATGAAAGTGAATATAGGTTGTGATACAGTAATAATTAATGAGCGTCTATAAAGGTTATATGATGATAAAATGTTAACAGTCATTTTTATTCTTACTTGAAATAACT